TTTTTTTTTTTTTTTTTTTTTTTTTTTTTTTTTTTTTTTTTTTTCTCCCCAAAACAGGGTTTCTCTATGTAGCCTTGGCTGTCCTGGACTAAACTTGTAGACCAGGCTGGCTTCAAACTCACAGGGATCCACCTGCCTCTGATTTCAGATCACAGGTGCAGGCCCAGCTCATCACCTTATCTGATGGGGCCCTCTCTGAGACCTTTTCTGTCCCTGTACAGTCCCCCTTTCTTGCATTACATATACTACATACATATATTACAATCTAAATTTAGATAAATTCTTGCTCTTCTTAGTTTGCCAGGCTTTCTTTTTCCTTCTTGTGCAGTCTCTGTGTGCTCTGCTGGGATGACCTAGAACTTTGTAGGCTAGCCTTGAACTTGTGACCCAGGCCAAGCCCAGCCTCTGGGAGGCCAAGGCAAGGTGGGGTTTGCCTTGTGGGGTCTGTTCTTTCCCTCTAGCCTTATGTGATTCTATGGATGGAACTCAGGTCGCTGGACTTGGGCCAAGTACCTTTACCTGCTGAGCCACCCCGCTGGCCTTATCTCCTTTAAGAGTGGTACTGTAGGACTGGAGAGATGGCTCAGAGGTTAAGAGCACTGGCTGCTCTTCTAAAGGTCCTGAGTTCAATTCCCAGCAACCACATGGTGGCTCGCAATCATCTATAATGAGATCGGGTGTCCTCCTCTGGCGTGCAGGTGTACATGCAGGCACAACAATAATCTGTGGTACTGTGTATGCCAGGCTGTCTTGATACAGCAATCCTCTTGCTTCAGTTTCCAAAGTACTAAGATAAACAAGCTAAACTATTCCCCCAGCTCAGAAGATAACTCTTAATCTGTCTTTTAATTCAAGATATTTATAGCAAGTCCTACTGTCTGTCCATGAGTTTCATTTGTTGGGTGTCCTGAGTGACAATGGTGAAACACTTCTGGGTTTTCCAAACCTTCTGGGCTAAGATGGATAGCTTAATCCCATGTGGCCTAAGGTCTACAACTTTACAGTATTTTCTCCTTTTCCCTGTAGGCATCCAGGGTATTGTAGATGCCTACCGCCTGGCACTGCCCCAAGTTCGTCTCTACGGCCCCACCAATTTTGCACCCATCATCAACCACGTGGCCAGGTTTGCAGCCCAGGCTGCACAGCAGAGGACAGCCTCGGTAAGAGCTGTGGGTAGCCGTGGCACTGACGAGTCGGGGACCGTGGAATGACCAGCACCTCACCAGCGGCAATGTGTACCTGGGTTTTGGGAGGGGTCTGGGAAAGACGGTCTGCCTCAATAGACATGTGCATTTGTCTCTAGCAATACTTCGTGCTGTTGATTTTGACTGACGGTGCTGTGACAGATGTGGAGGCCACATGTGAAGCTGTGGTGCAAGCCTCAAAGCTGCCCATGTCAGTGATCATTGTGGGCGTTGGTGGCGCTGACTTTGAGATCATGGAACAGCTGGATGCTGATGGTGGCCCTCTCCGTACACGCGCTGGAGAAGCAGCTGCCCGGGACATAGTGCAGTTTGTGCCTTACCGACGATTTCAGAATGTGAGTGGGAGGTGTGATGGGAGTGGGGCTGAGGGACAGTAGATAAAACCTTTTTACGAAGGTCTGGGAAAGGGTGAATTTTGGGTAAGGTGTAGAGGCTGTACAGGCCCTCACGGCCGGTGCCTTTCTTCTCTTGACAGGCTCCCCGGGAAACCCTGGCACAGACTGTACTTGCAGAGGTGCCCACTCAGCTGGTGTCCTACTTCAGAGCCCAAGGTTGGGCCCCATTAAAGGCACCTCCAGCCCCAAACAAGGGCCCTGCGCAGGCCCCCCAGGCATAGGCTCCCTTGGAGAGTAGGCCATGGTCAGTCTTCACCTTTAGCTACACAAGCCTCTGGGTATGGACCAACCCTAAACATTCTACCCACTTCATATTCGATACTTTTAGATGTGCTTCTGTTACTGCTGCTTTTTGACATGCCTGCCTGTCCCTGCACCCTCTCCTTCAGAAAAGACCACCCCCTTCCTCAGGGTTGTAGACTGGTATAGATAGCCAAAGTTTGTTGACATTGGACTTGAGTGAAAACAGGAAGCATAAGCATGCATGTGGTTGTCACTTTCTCCTGGGGTGGCCGAGCTGGGAACATGAACAAGATGGAAGGTGCTGTCCCTGAAGAAGTAGCAATGGCCTGAGACTGACATGTTTCAGAGCAGAGGGAGGGGTGTTAGACCTCTTTGTACTAGCCCTGTTCCTTGGTTTTGTGGGAACACTTGTGTAGCCCAGGCTGGCTGCAATTTACTATCCTGCCTCAACTTCATAGATGCTGGAATTACAGACATGTGCTACGCCATGCCTGGTTGGCAGTCCTGATTTTACATGCTTTTTTGACATAAAATCTCATAGCTCAGGTTGGCCCTGCATTGTGTAGGATGACTTGAATTCCTGGTCTTCCTACCCCACTTCCCACTGGACCCACTGTGCCAGCTGCTGCTTATTGAAGATTTAACACATATAGAGAAACCTTTATAGGAGGGACACATCTTAACCACATTGCCAAGGCTGCCTGCAGACTCTATGAGGTCCACTTTATGCAGTAGCCGGAACTACGGTGCACTCAGTGCCTATATAGTACTGTAATGCTCTATATAGTCCTAGTTTAGTGAACAAGAAAAAACAGGTTTTTCTTTGAAGAAGGAGAGCTCCTAAATGCAAAATTAATACTTCACACTCAGCCTGCTGGTCAGGCATGGTGGAGCACAATTTGAACCCCAGCTCCCAGGAGGCAGAGAGGTGTTTTATAATGTTTTCTATTCTGATAACACATTGTTTCAAATATCAGTATTATATAATAATGGGAACAAAGATGGGTGGCTCATGGCTATAATCCCAATACTCAAAAGTCTGAGGCAGGAGGATTGCTGTGAGTCCGAGGTAGACTTGAGTTACACTGTGAGTTTCAGGTCAGATAAAACAACTGTTATCACATGTGCTTTTCTTTTTAATCTGCTTTGCAATTATTTGGGATGCCTTATCCATCAAAACTTACTGCCTTCTCCCCTTTTCAAGTTTATATTATTCTTTTGTAAGAATATACCAGAGTTTAGTAATTTCCTTAAATTACAGAGATTCGTTTTTATTCTGCTTACACACGTTTTTGAGGAATTGGTTCCTCACTGTGGGAAAGGTAGATCACAGAGGATAAAATGTTAGCAGTTATTACAGGTGCCTTCTGTATAAACTTATGGTCTCACGCATCCCATTTGTTAACCATGGTCACCTTCACCAAATCTCAATTTTAGTTTCATTTCTTTCCTTATATAGGTTAGATACCATTTCATACATGAACTTGTTTCTCAGGAGCCTGTTCATGGGCTCTGTGTGTCAGAGCCTTTATTCTTCCGATGTGTTGAAAAATTTCCTCCTTAGCTGTTACTGTTTCATGTTTTATACTCTATGCAAATTTATTTTTATATATGCTAACCTGCTCTTTAAAATGTATCCATATATCAATAATAAATTCTATTTCAGTGACTGCATTTGTTTTGTGTTTGGTGGTGGGGATTGTGCTTATCTCGGAACATATTTAGGACTTCTAGAGTTCAAAGACATCTTCCACTGCACAGTTAGTTTGAAAATAGCCTGGGCTACAATAAGACCCTGTTTCAAAAACAAAGAGGGCCTTGCAAGACTGTCCACTGGGTAAAGTCCTTGCCATATAAGCTGAACAAGCCGAGTTCTAGTTGTAGGGTCCATGTAAAGGTGGAAGGAAAATTAAACTCCACAAAGTTGTCTGGCCTTCACTCTAGCAATGGTATGCACTCATGTACTAAAAGTGTGTGTGGAAGCCAATCAAGGCGGCTCCCATCTGCAATCCTAGCACTACAGTACCTGAGGTAGGAGTGCCGCCTTGAACTTTACTAACCTGGGCTACATAATGAGTTCTAGGCCAGCCTTAGATGAATCTCAAGAGAGTTTGCTTCCTGTGGTTAAACTGCCTTGTATGTGTCCTGAGAACTGAAACCAGAACACTTTCCTTTTTTTTTTTTAATGGTTTATATTTTTTGTGCATTGGCATATTGCTTGCATTATATGTGAGGGTGTTAGATCTCCCGGAACTGGAGTTACACAGTTGTTAGCTACCACGTGAGTGCTGGGAATTGAACCCAGGTCCTCTGCAAGAGCAGCCAGGGCTCTTAACCACTGAGCCATCTCTGCAGCCCCAGGACACCATGGCCACTTACAGACTAGGCAAACTTGTGCTCTGCCAGCCTTAGTTTTAGTTTTTTGTTGTTTGGTTGGTTGGGGTTTTTTTGGAGATAAGAGTAGACCAGGCTAGGCTAGACCTCAGAGTTCCACCGCCTTTGCCTCCCATGTGCTGGGATTGAAGGTGTGCACCATGACCAGCCTTTGCTCTGAATAGTACTGACTCTTCTGCCCTCAACCTCACAGAACTCCTACCGCTGCCTCTTGAGTGGCCTTTTGGTCTCATATTTAGCCACTCACGGGTGGGTTTGTAACGATCTTGTGGTAGTTTTGTTTTTCATTTTTCTAGTCACTTATGCTGTTGATCATGTCATTAGCCTGTTATTCATGTTTTAAGAAGTGTCTATGAGTCTTTTGCCTATTTGAATTGGTTCTGATTATTACGGAATTATAAGCGTCTTATGTTGAAATTTTGAAGCTTTGGACCTTCTTCTGGACAGCTATCAGCACTATCCCCAAGCCCTTAGTCCTATCTTTAACCTTAGTTTTAATTTGTTCCCAATACATTTATTATGTATGCGTATGTACCCTGCCTGGTACACGGAGGTCAAAAGACAATCCTGTGGGTCTTGGCTATCTATTGTGTGTGTCCCTGAGATTGAACTCAGGTCCAAAGACTTGGTGGCAAGCCCCTTTAGCCCGCTTGAGTCATCTTAATGACTTTTAATTTTTTTTTTTTTTTTTTTTTTTTACTATACCTAAGTTATTTTGTATGTAAGTGCCATGGCACATGGAGGTCAGAGGACAACTTTGCAAAGTTGTCTCTCATTTCACCATGTGGCTCTCAGGGATCAAATTCTAGTTGTCAGGTTTGGTAGCTTTTACCTGCTGAGACATCTTACCAGCTCTAAACTTAGCTGGTGAATTTTTTGTTTTGTTTTTGAGATAGCATTTCTCCGTGTGGCCTTGCGATCTCTCTGCTCATGCTTAGGCTCTTTTTCACCCTTAGGAACTCAAATTATTTGACTGCCTGTTGGCACTTCCCGCCCACCAGTTCTTTTACCATTGCAGTGAAGATGCTTAGATCTGGTGGAACAGGTGACCCTAGGCCCTAGGAATAACCAGCTTCATAGGGTCTACCAAGCCTGAGTCAGCTTTGACTCAAAATGTTTCCTAGCGTTTTCCAGTTCTTACCTTTTCAGGGTTTGCCAGAGAGTTTCCCATCTCTCTACCTAGCAGGAACTGAGGTCATTTCCAGGAACTGGGGGAGGATTGGGCACAAGTATGGCTTCGGTTGCCTGGTAGTTCTCCAGCTGAAAGGGAAGGCCTCTTGAGGACGGCCACTCTGATGTTACTTTCCACAAGTTGTGTGACTGAAGTGAGTGGCTTGCCTGAGCAGTTTCCTTCTCTGAGGATCAAGTTGTGTCATTTACAGTGTAGAATGTCCACAGAACCTTCTCTGGCATATGGGAGACCCTGATGCTGCTACTGTATGTCCCTGTGCCTTTCCAGGAAAGGGGGAGAGGTGTGGAAAGGCATCTTCTGCCATACTGCCATGCCACAAGGCAGCGGGAGCTTTCCCCAAAGGATGACTTCCCAGCACTGATGCAGTTTTCGTTAGCACAAACCTCAATTTACTCCAACCATCTGCATTTTTACTGGGCCCCCCCAGTGACCTCTGTGGCATTGTCCTCTGCCCACTCTGAGGTCCGCACACCATGCGCACGGACTCGATATAAGCATGTGAAACGTGGATGACCCCAGTTGCTTAGGATCTGAATCTTCACCTTGGGGAAGGCAGATGGGGGATCATTCTGGGGAGACAAATGGATCATGCCAATAACTGCTCCCTCAAGAGTGCCCTCCGTCACTATTCACTGCCCGACACCTCGGCACTCTCACCCCAGAGATAAACACACCTCTAAGTGGAAAGTCTGAATTTCAGATTTCTGCACATCAAAGACGAACTTTCCCAAGAACACTTCAGTCTTGTCATCAACCTGGAGTCCCTGGTGGGTGAAGTATATGAAGGAACAGTGAGGCACAGGGTGCAGCGGGAGAGACGACCATTGTTGAGGATGTGTGTTCAGGAGCTGCCTGTGTTCTGGTTCATGTTCCCACGGCAGGAAATGGAGTGTGGAATGGAGGCTTGAAGAACCAGTACTAGGCAGGATGTCCTAGCACCAGGGTGCTCGGCCAGGACTGTGAGTTTAAAGTCAACCTGAGCTACACACAGTGACCCTGTCTTAAGCAAGCAAACCAGGCTGATAGGTTGTTGGCAGGGCTGGAAAGATGGTTCTTGCAAGGACCCAGGTTGGGTTCCCAGAACCCACATGGTGGCTCACAACTGTTGGATTCCAGAGGACCCAACACCCTCTTCTGACCTGCTGGGCACTAGGCATGCAAATGGTGCACATACTATACATACAGGCAAAAACACTCATATATTTTTTAAAAATTAAAAAGTAATGTGACTCAGCTTATAATCACTTCTTTTAGAGCACTATGGTCCCTCTTCAGATGGGAAGAGGCAGCAGTACTTCATGGGTTTTGCAGATGTAATGAAATAATATGTATAGAGTTTGGCAAGCCATTCCTAAGATCTGGATACGGTTACAACCTATGGCAGCCTATCAGTCAGGTGGAAGTGTGTCCAGTTTACAGATGATCACAATGACAAACACCGCCCTAGTGTTTTCTAACAAAAATTCCCCACCTTCTGGCCTCAGCCCCACTCACAAAGACGGCAAAGTCCCGGGGTGCGCTGCTGGCTCCTCCAGTGTGTGCCACGGTGGGTGGAGGGTGCTGCAGGGTGATGTCGCTGAGCTGCACGTGGCCTGGCAGTCGGATTACCACCTGGCCCTGGTCACCTTCAAAAGCCCAGCAGTTTCCAGGGAACACATCTGGCTGCAGTGTTTGGGCAGAACGTATGACAAACCAAGGAGACCAGACACCCTGAGCTGCACAGCAAGACCCTGCTCAGCTCAGAGCTCTGCCTTCTGCTCTGCTTGTGGCCTAGCCAGATGAGGCCATGCTGAGTCCCCAGCACTTAACAGTTCTTCCCACTTTAACCCCATCCTTGGCCTGACAGGAGCCTTCCTGCACCATACAAGACCCTGCCTCCCATGGGGCACCTCCTGAGGCCAAACTGACCTCAGCTCCGTCCTCCCTCCACCAAGTTGATTCTTGTCCTCGGCTTGTTGGTACTATCCCCAAGCACTCTGGGTCCAGGCCTACCTCCAGTATGACTGAGGGTGGGCGGGCATAGTTCCAGAAGCTCAAGCGATTCCAGAAGTAGGCAGTGTTGGTGTCCTCATAGTCACTGGATGTCTTCTCCAGGTCGATGGAGGCTCCTAGAATAGGCACACACCTCTTTCAGGGGCTCCTAGGGTTTCTCATCAATGAGGTAGAATGGTTGTCTACGACTGACTCCAATTCTTTCCACACATCTGCGTCTTACCCACAGAGCTCAGTGCATAGTCGGGTTTCCGCACAAAGTCCTCATTCAGCCTCTGGAACACGAGCTTGGCCACTCTCTAATGAGAGAGAGGGTACACCAGGAGGGTTGCAGGCTAGCTTACAGGCTGCTTCAAGTAAGTCAAGCTCAGAGCCTTGAGAAAGATTTCCCATAGTAGGTATCTGGGCTGAGGATTTGTCTCAGGACCCAGGGATGTGGCCGTTCTAAAGTGAAGCCTCTGAGTGAACGTAGTTAGGCCCCTGAGCCACCCCCTCCAGCTAGGCCCCTCGAGCCCCTGGGCGGGGACTTACCTCACTGTGGACTGCTCGAACACTGGACACCTCCTTGTGGAGTTTGTCCAGTTCTGCCTGGAGGTGCTGCAGTTGCTGGCCCTGAGAATGCACACGCTGGTGGTACTGGCTGCAGGCGGAGGTAAGCAGCACAGGTTTAGCGACCTGTCCCTGGGCGCTCATTCCAGAAGGCCCCCACAGGCGGATGCACTCTCAGAGCTGCCCAGTCCCACCCCAGATCGGCTCCTTTACCTTAGAGTCAGCATGTCCTTAGGTTCCTGTTGAGGAAGGGACAAATCAGCACCCTTCTCCCACATCAGCACCTGTTTGGAAATTCCTCCCCTTCCCTACCATTCTTGGCTGGCCTCTGGGATTCAGTGCTCCCCACATTGCCCCATCCCAGCAGCCCAGGCCCCACACAGCCTCTACCCCACCTGGGGACAGGATCTCCCCAACTCACATTCTCCAAAGGAGGGACCAGGTACAGGAGCCCCCACCAGAGTGCTGGAGAAGGAGGGGAAGGGGCGTCCTCTGGTATAACAGGAACAGGGAGGAGAACAAAGGGGTTGGGGGCGGTCTGGGGCTACAGGAGGACCGTGGGAGACCAAGTGGGGGTCACTAGGAGTGGGCTGAGGTCACAGACATGGGGCCGCAGAGCTGGGACCCCAGGGAATCCATGCTCCTCACCTGCCAGAAAGATGCTCAGGAGCGACAGAGCAGTGAACAGGAAGCGGATGGAGCAGACCTCCCTAAGGAACCGGGGTGGATGCTGATGCCCACGGGCCCTGATCCATCCTAGCCTCCACCCCAAGGTCCTAGACCCACCAAGTTCCCGGGAACACAACTCAACCAGATCTGAATCAGCTCAAGCCTTGGTGGGGCCAAGCCCAGCTACCCTTCCCCGAGACCCGCCCCTCCCCTCTGACCTGTACACACAGACCAGCACGTCTCCTGCCACGGATAACAACACGCTCAGCACCTGAAAGAGGAGGCCTGGGGACGGGAGAAGCAGCTCAAGAGAGGGCAAGCCATGAGGGTGAGGTGGTACAGGTTCAGAAGGGCTGGGGGTGGGGGGGCAGGGCCTGGGGCTCAGAAGGCAAGGGTGGACTGAGGCTGCACACTGGGACTCGGGCTCGGGCAGGAGAATTGGGGTTCCGAGAGCAGAGGTCAAAGGGGATCCGGGTTGGATTCTCGACCCCAGGCTCGAGCAGAACTGGGGTTCCGAGTGCCAGGTCAGAGGGGATGGGGCTGGCCTGGCTCGTACTCAGGAAGCTCTTGGACACCCTCGCGGGAGGCATCTCCTGCCTCAGATCCAGGGTCGGGAGAAGGCCGAGTTGTTCCTCCAGGACTACAGGAGATCCAGCCGGTTCTGCGGGAGCCCAGGGCTCCATTGAGGTGTTGTGCACCGCAGGCCCTCTCTTCCCCCGGGGCCCGGGCGCAGGCTCCTGAGCTAGCTGCCAAACAGCTGGGCGGCCTCTCAGACAGGCCTCGGTCCTGCCGCACCCCCATGCCACTCTCCCTGCGCACCCCCAAGACCCGGGGCAGGAGAGGCTCACTCAGCGGAAGAACCCGCTCCAGCCTGGCTGCCTGTGCGGCCGGGCACGGGTCCAGGCTGCCAGTCACGCCAGCGCGGTGGCGCCTCCTCACCCACGCCCGGGCACTGGGTTTCCTCCGCCCCCTCCCGGGACCAGCCATGGCACCGAGCCCTGCCCCTCAGGGACTCGTGATGCGCGCGCCCCCCTCAGGCGCGAGCCTGAACTGCACCTAGGTCCGCGCCGGGCCCCGCCCCGCGAGCCCGCCCCGCCCTCTCGCCCCCCGGGCTCGACCCCGCCCGCACCCGAGGCCCCGCCCCTCACGGTTGCCGCGCCACAGGCGGTCGGCCTAGTGTGGCTCCGAGGCGCAGGCATCGGCCGAGAGCTTCCTGCCCAGGTGTCTCCTCCGGGCACTCCTGGGCTTATGGCGGGCTCACCACAGCTCGAGCCCCGGGCCCTTCTGCCCTCGGGCTCCCCGAGCTCCGGCCCAGCGGACCGGAGCCCATTGCTGTCCCCCGAAGTCGCGCTGTGGGAACTATTGCTGTTCTCGCTGAAGAAATTGGGTGTGTGGTTGTGAGAGGATGCGGCCGGGCTCCGCCGCATCCTGACCTGGGGCTGCCCCCCTGGGAAGCCGAAGTCGCCGCAGCCAAAGCCCTAGGCCCTCCCTCAGCTGCCTCGCGCCGCCGGGTCGGACCCTGCCTGAGCCCCGGGCGGCGCGGCCCGCTCAGCCCGAGCTTCTGCGACCCTCCCGCTGCTGTTGCCGTCACAGAGGAGCCGCGTCACAGAACCCGTGACGTCACCGGGAGCCGAGCACGCTCCTGTTTCCTTCCTGACCTTTCTCTCGCTCCCCACCTTTGTCCTTGAGTTAGGGTCTCTCTTACGTTCAGCCAGGCCACGGTGGCTCCCGACCTTCCTAACGCTGCCACTCTTTAATCCAGTTCCCCATGTTGTGGTGACCCCAGCCATAAAATTCTTACCGTTGCCGTTTTGTGACTAGCTTTGCAACTGCCCTGAATCATAATGTAAATATTTTGGGAGATTAGAGGCTTGCCCAAGGAGTGGCGACAAACAGCTTGAGGCTGCAGAGCTATGGCCTGCGAGGCCCCGTGGTTCCCGCCTGTGTGCTCCCCCAGAGCTTCGAGGACAGGCATCGCACCCCCGCTCAGGCAGTTTGTCCACTGGGCCATCTCAGCCCCTGCGCTTTGCCTCCTGAGAGCCTCTTCCACGTTTGGCTAGAGAGCTGACCAGCCAGTCCAAAGGCACTCTGCTGTCTCCACCCTTTCGGAGTTGGGATTGCTGCCACCTGGGCTCTGGCCTAGACTTGACCGGAGAGCTGGGTATCTGCGCTTGGGTCCTCAGGCTTCACAGCAAACCCTTTATTGACTGCTCCATATCCCCAGTCCTTTTTGTATTTTGGACACGAAGTTTTGCTATGTATCTTCTGCTGGCCTGGTACGGGATGTATACCCCAAGATCATCCCGAATCAGGATAATACTCCTGACCCAGTATCCCAAGCTCTGGGATTACAGGCATTTCATTATGCTTATCAGATATTAAGTAGGAGGATGAGGATTTTTGTTGTTGTTCGGTTTGTTGACTTCTGTATCTTCCAGAACCTAGATATTTAGTATTTAGGAAGCAATAGGTATTAAACAGGAGCTGAGCAGCTGGGCATGGTGCCACACACCTTTAATCCAGCACTTGGGAGACAGAAGCAGGCCTCTGTTAGTTCGAGGCCAAATAGATCTACAGAGCAAATTCCAGGACAGCCGGAGCTACACACAGAGAAACAAACCCTGCCTTGAAAAACCAACAACAAAAAATATGCCTAAAATAAACTTCCCTGTGTCAGACTAAATTTGAACTAGCATTGGCTGCTGAGTCATGTTGAACCAGACTTCCTTCTTGCCTCCTCCACACAGACACTCTGCTGGCCCTGGTGGTCACAGAGACCCTCCCACATCTACAGGGTGACCACAAACACCTTAGGAAACATTGGGAAGAAGGAGCTGGAGGATTATAAAAGCTTCATCCATGAAATCTCAACAATACGGTCACCTAAACAAGGCCTACTAGACGTGCCAGCCTGGATGGCTCTACCTCTGGATGAAGAGCTAGTGGCAAACAATGGCTGAGGAGGGAGGGAGAATCCATTTTGCTCCAGAGACAAACATACTGATAGGTTATCCCCAGGGGTCAACCCAAGCATGTGTACCTAATGTACATAAATGGGCTTAGTAGGATGTATGTGTCTTTGAGATTGTATGCAAGTGTTCGTGTGTGCGTATGTGTCTGTTTTTGAGTATGTATGTATGCATGTTTGCGTGTGTGCATGCATGAGTGTTTGTGTGCAGTACAATCACAGAAGAAGTCATGAATGAGAGGGAGTGGGGGAACATGGGAGGAGTTGAAGGGAGAGGGGTGTTAGAAATTATATAAACCACATAAAATTTTCAAAAAAATTAAGTTAAAAGCATCCTTACCTTCTTATCAGATGTGGAGGTTTGTGGTTTGTTTTTTGTTTGTTTGTTTTGTTTTGTGTGGTTTTTAGGTTTTAGAAACAGGGTCTCCTGTAGCCCAAGTTTGCCTCACACTCACTGTGTAACTAGCAATGGCCTTGAACCTCTCATCCTTCTTCCTTCATCTCCTATGTTCTGGGAATATAGTCATTCACTATGCCTAATTTATAGGGTACTTGGGGACTAAACCTATGGCCTTCTGCATGCTAGGCAAGAATTTTATAAACTGAGCTACATCTGCAGTCCATCGTAATGCCAATATTGAGAAGGAAAAGCTGACACGAGGAGGAATCATGTAACAAGACTCAGTTCTCCTGATGGTCCAGTCTTATCTGTTATTGCTGCCCTGTATATTCCTTGCACTTTAGCCAAGCCGAACAAATCACAAGTCTCAGGACACACCATCCCTTCCCAGTACCTGAATGCAGGTCTCTGGTCCCAGCTTCTGTCTTCAGATTCCATTGTACAGACTTCCTCTTCAGTCCAGTGCCTCTGCCCTCCTTCCTCAGAGATCCCAGGCTTGTAACTTTTCTACTGTGTAAGTAACTGTGTTGCATTGTTTTGGGCTCTGTTATTATCGGAGTCTATGAAACTTCTGAGAGACTGAACAAATCTGCTTCACCTAACCGCAGCTGTATCTCTCTGCTTGTGAGAACACTGCAAAAGTTCTGCCCAAAGGACGGAAATTAAAAGAAATAACTGATTCCAGGTGGTGGTGGCACACACGGATAATCCCAGCACTCAGGAGGCAGAGGCAAGTGGATCTCTGTGAGTTCGAGGCCAGCCTGTTCTACAGAGCGAATTCCAGGACAGCCAGGGCTACACAGAGAAACCCTGTCTCAAGAAACTAATAAACAAGAACAAAAGAAAAGGAAAGGGATATTTGGGGCAGGGGAGGTGGATCAGCAAGAAAAGGCTTGCTGAGAAATCTGGCTGGCCACCAGAGTCTGGTTCCCAGGACCTAGATGGTGGAAACCGAGGACTCACCCCTGCAAGCTGTCTTTTCATCTCTGTGTGCTGTGACATGTGCAGACACCCTCAAAAATGAACCTCAAACAAACAAATAAATGTAATTTAAAAATTAAAAACTGGGCGGCTGGAGTACATGGCTCAGGGGTGAGCTTTAAGTCTGAAATCACTGCTCGGAGACCACCGCTCTCCTATGCAATTGGCAAGAATGGTTTATGTCCCCAAAACCTGCATGCAGGGGTCAAACCATTTTACAAAATGGTGACCCTAGACAAAGGCGCGCAGGCCTTTTTATAAGAAACTAGGGGTATTCTAGCAAGGGTAGGTAATCTAAAACCTCATCGCTGGATGCCTGGATGCCGGAGAAGTTGCAAGCGTTGATTCCTCATTGGCTTCAGGTGGTTGGTGAGCTGCATTCCTGTGCCACGAATGTTTACAAGATGAGATGAGGCCCAGCGCAGATGCCCCATCCTGGGATAAGATATTTTCCCATTCTTGTGGTTATCTCCAGGCTGTCCCTTGGGTAAGGGATTTGCTGGTCTTGTTCCTGGAATTGGTGATCTATGGCCTAATTCCTGGGACTGGTGGCTCTTCTTTTAAAGTCAGGCCTGGTCCTGAAATGGAGACAAATGGAGCTTATGTTCTCTCCGTGAGGTGTGCTGCTCTTCCAGAGGACCAGAGTTTGGTTCTCAGTATTCACGGACAGACAATTCCCAACTACCTGTAACTCCAGCTCCAGGGGATCAGAACCCGCACACATACACATCAACAAAAAAATAATAAAAACAAATTGTAATGGAAGTTTTGGTTTCTTTGTAAACTCAGTTATGTTATAGAAATGTGCTTTTGTTTTAACACCAAGTGTGGGATTTTAGTTGGGCTCCTGTTTGTCCACACTTGTTAATTGTCTCATGTGGGGCATGGCTTTTGCCAGCTGGTAACAGCCTTCCACGTGTGGCTCGGAAAGGGGCGTGGTCTAGGGCTCTGAGGATATAAACTGAAAGCCCAGAACAAGAAAGTGGTGGCATTTGGTGATGGCATGTGGCGTGTAGCAGCTTGGAGAGACTGCTGGTGATGCTTTGGAGCAGACAGGCGGAGAGAAACACTTGGGCCGCAACGGCTTGAGGAAGACTACTGGCTGCCGGCATTTGCTGTTGACTGGGATTGGTATAGCCCTGAAAGAACCCCTCGACCCCAAACAGCCGGGAGAAGTAAAGGGGCCCTCCCTCCCCACCAACCTTCTCTCTCCTATGTAGGATTGGGAGGTTGGAAGAGAGGGTGAAGCCTAAACACCCCAAATAGAGTTTACAAAACGGGAGCTACAAAAAATCTTTAACATCTAGGTAAGACATTTAGATACAGGAAAACGCACATGTGCTTAAGTTTTAGTGTAGTTCAAAGGCTTGCAGCTCATTTACAGCTTCACTAGAGTCCTAGTACAGTAACTCAAGGACTTCTGGCTTCTGGTTAAGAAGCACAAAGTACAGCTACTATATATAGGCCGGGGAAGTACTCAACCATCTTCAGTTCAACAAATGTGGGGAATGCTTGCAGCACCGACACTAAGGGCGTCCATCTTTCACTCCCACCTGTTTATCCGGACTGTGTGTTCTGTTTGTTTTGAGTCTAGGTAGCTCAAGCTAACCTTGAGCAAGAGATCCTCCTGCCTCAGCCTCCCAGCTATTGGAATTAGAAATGTGTGCCACCATGCTCGGCCCCAGCCAATGTTTTCAGGGTCTACTGTGTGTTATATCTGGAGGTAGGCACCGGGAACTCGGAACAAGGAAGGTTAGAAGCAGGCGTGGTGGTGGCTCATGCCTTTAATTCTAGCAATAAGGAGGCAGAGCAGGTGGATCTCCAAGTTTGAGAGTAGCCTGATCTATATAGTGAGTTCCAGGTTAGCCATGATTGCACAGAGAAACTCTGTCTCAGAAAGGAAAAGTATGTATTTATTTATGTCAACCTGACATAAACTAGGGTCATCTCAAGAGGAGGGAAATTCAGTTGAGAAAGTGTCCCAAAGAGATTGGCCTATAAGCAAGCTTGTGGGGCATTTTCTTGATTAATAATTTATTTGGGAGACTGATGCACCAACCAAGGACCATGTATGGAGAGGCCCTAGAACCCTTCTCAGATGTAGCCAACAGGCAGCTCAGTCTCCATGTAGGTCCCTTTATAAGGGGAGCAGGGGCAGTCTCTAACATGGACTCTGTTGTCCGCTCTTTGATCACTTCCCCCTGGCAGTGTGGCCTTACCAGGCCACAGAAAAAGAGGATGCAGGCAGTCCTGATGAGACTTGATAGGCTGGGGTCAGATGGTAGGGGAGAAGGGCTCCCCCTTTCTGAGGAATAGGGGAGGGGGAGGGGAGGGAGGGAGGATGGGACTGGGAAGAGACTAAAGAGGGGGCTACAATCAGGGTGTAAAGTGAATAAATTATTTAAACAAATAATTGATTTGGAAGGACCCCATTTTCTGTGGTTAGTGCCATCTCTGGGAAGGTGGTCCTGAAGTATATAAGAAAATAAACCTAGCAAGCCAGAAGTGACAAGCACAGTGGTCCTCCATGGTGTCTGCTTCAGTTCCTGCCTTAGCTTCCCCTGACGTTGATACTGTTACTAATAAGCCAAATAAACCCTTACCTCCTGTTCTGTCTAGCTTTATGTCAATTTGCCCTAACTGAAGTCCTATGAGAGGCAGGAACCTCAACTGAGAAAATGCCTCTGTAAGGTCTAGGTGTGGGCAAATCTGTAGGGCATCTTCTAGATTGGTGATTGCTGGAGATGAAGGACCAGCCCATGGTGGGTATGAATACCCCTTGGCTGGTGGACCTAGGTTCAATTTTTTTTTTTTTAAGGTAGGCTGAGCAAGTCAGGAAGCAACACTCCTTCATAGCCTCTGCATCAGCTCCCGACTCCAGATTCCCACCCAGTTTGGGTTTCTGCCTCGGCTCTCCTCAATGGACTGTGTGACTAGCCAAATAAACCCTTTCCTCCCCAAGTTGCTTTTGGTCAAGGTGTTTCCTAACAGCAGTAGTTTTCCCTAAGTAAGGTGGAAATTGGTATGAGGAGCTGGGATATTGCTGTGACAGACTTGATCGTGTGTGTTTGTTTTTTGTTGTTGTTGTTGTTTTTTTTTTTGAAAGATAGTGGAAGAACTTTGGAATTCTGGGCTAGAAAAGCCATTGGGTGTTGAAAGATTGGTGAGCAGTTCGGTAGAAGCTTGGAAGACAAGAATGTTGAGAGACATACAGATGATTGAGGCCTGAAGTTCCAGAGGGAAGTTTTGAGAGACACTTTAAGACTCCGTTTGGGGCTGTTGCATATATATTTTTAAAGATTTATTTATTTATTATATATACAATGTTCTGTCTGTATGTACACCAACATGCCAAAAGGGGCATCAGATCTCATTATAGATGGTTATGAGCCATCACGTGGTTGCTGGGAATTGAACTCAGGACCTCTGGAAGAGCAGCCAGTGCTCTTAACCTATGAGCCAACTCTCCAGCCCCCTGTTGCATATTTTGAATGAGGACTCTGTGGTTTCTGGTCAGCTGGGGCTGAAGAATTGGCTGTGATTAAGAAGAGACCAAAATCTCTGATATGAAACCTGTGCTTTCCTGTGACCACCGACGCTGGTCATCTCCAGCTAAGAAATTCATGGTGACTAAGATGAGTCCATCATCACTGAGGTGAAATCTGGGGAGTGTTTCCTCAGGGTCAACACACAAAAGCTATGCTCCATTGGGGCCTAGTTTACCTCATGCTGACAGCTGAACTTGGTTATTTGAAAGAGTCTCTCAGGTGGTACTAGCTTTGAGGGCTTAAGGGGTCATGGAGAATAAACGGAGGCTTAGCACTGTGAGAGACCAGAAAAAGTCATTGGTGAAGGTACAGGCTCAGTAGCAATTGAAGAGCTCAAAGAGAGAAACTGAGGCTTAGCACTATGAAAAGAGCCTAGGAGAGGCTTTTGGTGAATGCAGCCCCGTTGCAGTGGGAGACCCCTGCATTGTGGAGGCACTGGTACCATGGGATGACCACCTTGGACAGTAGCAGTCATGGAGTGGGCCCACCTGAGCCTGCGAGGCATGCTGTGTGCTGTGGGAAGCCCTTTAAAAAAGCCCAGAAGATGTGAGGCCTAGAAGTGTGACTTTGTTTTGTTCAGATTGACTGTGCCCTGGTTCTCCCTTCTAGGAGTGAGAAAGTGTCTAACTTATTTTTTATTTTACGGAAGCCCACAGTTGAGAGACTTTGAACTTTTAAAGAGATTTTGGAGTTTTATTGAGACTAGATTTTTACAAACTGATATTTTAATTTTAAAAGAGACTGAATTTTTTTTCTTTTTGGTTTTTCGAGACTAGGTCTCTCTGTGTAGTCTTGACTGTCTTAGAGCTGGCTCTGTAGACCAGGCTGGCCTCAAACTCAGACATCTGCCTGTCTCTGCCTCCCTAGAGCTGGAATAAAGGTATGCACCGCCGCCGCCAAACTAACAGTGTAAGTGGAATTATTTTTTTTATTTTTGGTTTTTCAAGACATGGTTTCTCGTTGCAGCCCTGGCTGTCCTAGAATTCACTCTGTAGACCAGGCTGCACTGGAACTCACAGAAATCCACCTGCCCCTGCCTTTCCAGTACTGAGATTAAGGTGTGTGCGACCACTGTTTGGCTGTTCTGACTAGTCTTATGTCAACTTGAAACAAGCTGACATCATCTGAGAGGGAAAACCCTCAATTGAGGAAAAAAGCCTCCATCAGATCAGGCTGTAGGCAGGCCTAAGGGGCATCTTCTTAGTGAGTGATGGGGAAGACACAGCCCAGTGTGGTTGGGAACTCCTCTGGGCTGGTGGTCTTTGGTTCTATTTTTTTTTTTTTTTTAAAAAAAAAAGAAAGGCTGAGGAAGCCACGGGAGCAAGCCAGTAAGCAGAGCTCCTCCATGGCCTCTGTATTAGCTTCTGTCTCGGCTTTCTGCCCTGCTTGAGTTCCTGCTCTTTGCTATGGAGGTGTGAGGTCAGCCCTTTCTTTCACAAGTTCATCAGAACAATAGTAACCCTAAGACAGCTCCCTAAGTTGCTTTTGGCCATGGTATTTTATCATGGAGATAAAAAGAAAAGCCAAGGCAATGCCCTTGAGGCCTCACAGGCTAGCAGGGACCAGACTGAAGTCCTGACTTCTCCATCCCTCCTGTATCCCAGCGCCAGTCCTACAAAGGTGAGATCAAGGCTGAAGTGCTTTGCCACCTGCAGAGCTCTGTGCTGGCCCCCTCCTCTCGGGCCTCCATCCTTCCCTACCTGTGACCTCCAGGCCTGCCCACTGTGTGTTTGACTAAAGGGAAGGGATTGCTGAACCTGCTGGGTGAGTCCAGTGAGTCACAGACAACCCGGGTGGGCAGAAGGGCAAGCAGCAGACCGAGAGCCAGTGGTACTGCACCATGGCTCTGACTGTGTGTGTGAGACACCTAACAGGGCTGCCTGGCATCCACGACCGGCAAGTGAGGCTCTGCTTTCGTGGTAAGACTTGCACGGATGGTCTAAGGAGTTTTAGGATCGGGGAGCTCCGCATTCTTCATTCCTAAACCTCCACCTTAAATCCTGGCCCGTCTCCCTAGTCCCTGGCTTCTACTTCTTTCTCTGTCTTCTACTTCTCTTTAAGTGTTTGAGTGCGGGGAACTAGACAGTGGGCCAAGGTTGGGGGAGGCAAATGATTTTGTCAGTGTGGAGGGGCTGATAAATACTAGTTTCATTTCTTTGAGCAGGCTTTACTCAGAAAACAAGGAAGATCCACTGTGGTCGAGAAGCAGACGTTGGTGAGGTCAGTATAGCTGGTTCCTGGCTGGAGGGAAGTCAGCATTTTCCTTTCCAGGTCCATCCTGGGGCAGAAGGACTCATTCCTAGGCTTGGGGAATATGGTCTCCAGAAATGATGTGAGTCTCCGGTTGGAGAGTTCAGACCTGGTTTGAGATGTCAGTCTCTAAAGTAGCAGGATTAGTTCTTGACTGGCAGTGAATCCCACATCAGGCCTACACTGAGGTCAGCTCCATGTGGGAGGGCTGCCTCGTGTGCTCCAGGCTTGGGAGATCAGCTCTGGAGGGAGCCTCCCGTTTGGACAGCTGGGGATAGACGTTGGATTTGGTGTGAGCGTCGGCCCAGACCTGGTATCATGAGTCTTCCTGTTCCAGCTGTTCCGCTGGCCCCACTATGGGTCCCCACTGGCTGGAGAGAGTCTCTTTGTTGAGGTGGTCAACTGTAGCCGCGTGTTCAGCCCCAGGTGAGTAGGACTGAGGAAGCCAGGGAATGGCCTGCCGCTGTCTGCCCGCCTCACTCTTCTGCTCCACGCCATTCTTCCAGGCCGCTGGGGACCCTGGAGATTTCCCTGCAGCAGCTGCAGGGTGCCGGCCATTTGGTGCTGCGGGAAGCTCTGGTGGACGAGAGACTCCGCGTGTCCTCGGTAAGTGCCACCAGCCTACGTCGGCCAGCCGGAGACTCCTGCAGACAAAGGGTTCCCGTTAACTGAGAGGGAAACCCGAGGCAGACACCCGCGGCAGCCAGCACCTTAGACTCCCTTTCTCGCAGCCCCAGCCCGAGGTCTACATGGGCCAGAAGCAGGCTCATTCTGAGGCCCAGGGATTGTGGTGCCTACACTGTTCCTCCTTGGGTCTGGGTGGGCTCACTTCTCTTCCGGGAGACAATGATGAACCTGGTTGGGTTTCCCTGGTGTCTCATAGAAGGTGGGATATCCTTAGAAAAGGTGGATCTGGCTTCAAATCTTAGACCTGCAACTTCCAGTCGGAGCACTTGAAAGTTATTCATCATCTTTAAGCTGTTTCCTCATTTACATAACGGAGAGTCAGACTTATGGCTGAGTTTTTCTTTTTTTTTTTTTTCATTCAATCGTTGACTAAGTTTAAGGATGATAGCTGAGCCTGGTGGTGCATGCTTGTAATCCCAGCACTCAGGGAGGCAGAAGCAGGCAGATCTCTCTGAGTTCGAGGCCAGCCTGGTCTACAAAGTGAGTCCAAGACAGCTAAGGTTACACAGAGGAATCCTGCCTCGAAAAACCAAATAAATGAATGAATAAATAATTCAAGGATGATGTTGAGCAATGGGGATTTCGTGGTGGACAAAACCAGATAAAGATTTGCAGCTCACTAGCAGAGCAAGGGGGTCAAACATTAAGCAAGCATCCAGAAAAGTAAAAGTTTGTCATGGTGAGTTACAGAAGGCCAGTTACGGGGCTGTGAAAGTGTATAACCAGTTTGTGACCTATACGGGGGAGGTCCACAGAGTTTCCCTGAGGAAACTACGACTGTGCTTGAGTTTACAACTGAAGGTTATTGTGCTAAGTAGGAGGGAGGCTGTCTGCAGAGCAGGACAGAAGCCTAGAAGGAGCTGCACCTGGAAAAGTGGTCAAAGAGCAGGCACGTACCACCAGGCCAGGGCCTAAGTTCTTTAATTGAAACTTGCTCTACACCAGGCTGGCCTTGAATTCAGAGATCTGCTTGCCTCTGTCTCCTGGGATTAAAGGCATGTCTGTATTCCAGCCAGATCACACAGACCTAGAAGATCTTTGGATGTGATCTCTTGCCAGAGTAGCCATGTTCTGAATTAAAATTTCTCTACCAACCCCTTTCTCTAAAAAAATTATCTTAAACATTTTTTTTTAATTTAAGGTTTATTAGGCAGGCTGGTGGCATGTGCCTTTAATACCAGGGAGGAAAAGCAGGTGGATCTTTGTGAGTTTGAGACCAGCCTGATCTACAAAGCAAGTCCAGGACAGCCAGGGCTCTGTTACACAGAGAAACCCTGTCTCAAAAAACCTGGGCAGACTCTCAATTAGCTCATCTAAGTCAGCTGGACCACCTAGTCCCATACAGCCATGTGGCTAGATATACTTTCCAGGCCTGTAGTCACATCTGTCTCCTCTCATATCTCCTGCCAAAAAACCCTTCCTCTTTCTTCCTCCCGGAGTTTCTTTTTCCCTCCTCTAGGAAGTCCTGTTGTCCATGTCTCTGTCTGCCCAACTACAGGCTGTCAGCAACTTTTATTATCCATCAGGGATAACTTAGGAGGCAAAGTTAACACAACATCATTTTGGATACCTAAGAATTTGCTCATTGGACAATAAGGATCTTGTGTAGTAAGCAGTTAACATTTGAATACATAGCAGTTCCACATCAACTCTAACACCTGACAAAAGTTCCCTTTGCGTTGCCCAACTGCTCTTGGGAATGGGGTCTGCGTTGGAGTGTAGCCGACTTACCAGGAGCCCCATCATTACAGAAAGCTGCCTTGGCCTCTTCTAGCAGTTACCAAATGCAGAAGACTGTGGATGTAAATACTATCATAATCAGAGAGGAACACGCTGCTACAGACATAGGCCCAGAGGGTCTGTATTACAGGTGGCGTGCAAGGTGTTTGTCTTGGTACGCTTTTAGCCCATGTCAGTTTGAGGGGACCGATGGGTACTGTATCTGGTTTCAGATCCAGGTGGAGCTTGACCTAAAGTATCAGCCCCCTGACGGAGCTGCTGGAACCTGGGCAGAGGAGGACTTTGGGACACCCATTCGAGACAGGTAATCCTCTAGTAACCCATGGGAGGCCTGGTATCCCCAGGTGAAACTTTAGCCCGAAGAGAGAAAAATCACATTCACCTCCATTGTGGGTCAGCGGGGTACAGGGACCCTGGAGTGTGTTCTTACCAGGTTACCTTCCACAGTCAGTTCTCACCCTCTCTCTTTTCTCTCAAAGCTCAGAGTTGATTATCCCCAATGTGGGCTTCCAGGAGATGGAGTAAGTATGCGGGGGTGATTGGGAGCCACTGGAGTCAATACCAGGGTTCAGAGCAGGTGGCATGAGTTAGTTCCAGGGTCTGAGATTTGAATGAGTGAATTAGAAGGTCAGAGGTCAATCCTTACAGCAGGACTAGGTTTTGAAAATAGAATGATCTCCAGATTAAGAGTTAGCCCTGGGGGCTGGAGAGATGGCTCAGAGGTTAAAAGCACTAGCTGCTCTTCCAGAGGTCCTGAGTTCAGTTCCCAGCAACCACAGGGTGGTTCACAACCATGTATAGTGAGATCTGGTGCCCTCTCCTGGCATGCATGCAGAATATTGTATACATAATAAATTAAATAAATAAAAGAGTCCTACACTGGACGTGGTATCATATGCCTTTAATCCCAGCACTCAGAAGGCAGAAGCACGCAGATATCTGTGAGTTTGAGTACAGCCTGGTCTACAAAGTGAATTGCAGGACATCCAGGGCTCTTGCACAAAGAAACCCCTGTCTTGGAAAACAAAACAAAAATGACAGTCCTGGGATAAGTGGGGTCAATCTGAAGGTCAGCAGTCAATCCTAAAATAATCAAAGACAAAGGTTTCCCAGCAACAAGTGGCAGGTCCTAAGCATGACCTTTGGCCACCAACCCTCTCAGGCCCGATGAGGCCCGGCTGGAGCGTCGGACAGTGGCTCTGGGCCGAAGGCTAGCTCGAAGCCTGGGAGCACGGGATGATGAAGAGAGCGAACTGGAGCTGGAGCTGGGGCTGGAGGACGAGCCCGACGTGGAGATTTCTGGGGTGGTGTTCAGCCCCCTCAAAAGGTACCTACTCCTGCTCTGCCGCCCTGTCACTGAGTCAGCCTTCCTGACACACAAGGGCACAGGCACCAGATGGAGGCTCTGCTATCAGTGGTCATTCACTTACCGGCACAGACCCTATCATGTTCAAAGTGGTTCACACTAGTTTGTTAAAAAAAAAAAAAAAAAAAAATTGGTTAGGACAGGCTTTGTCTGTTTATATCGGCATGAGGCAGGTCTCAATCACCTTTGTTTGTTGAGTAAACTAACGGGTTCAGAGCTCCAAGAGTGAGTCAGACTCTGGATGTAGGTGTGAGATGCAGGTAGGCACCAGGCAGTCTGAAAGGACTTGACTCCAAAAGTTTGTGGGGCAGAGTCTGCATCCCAGCACCAGGCGGGCCTTAGGTGTGGTGAGCGAGGGCGAAGCAAGCTGACCCCATGCTTCTCTACAGCCGTGCCCTGGGCCTGCCCCGGGGGGACCCCTTCGAGGTGTGCAAGGCCCAGGACTTCCAGGTATGACTGTCAGGCTGTATTCTAACCCTCGCAGAATCTCGCTGCTCTCCCCTTCCCAGGCCCTTCTCACTTTTCTTTCCTTTCTTCCTTCCTTTCTTCCTTCCTTTCTTTCTTTCTTTCTTTCTTTCTTTCTTTCTTTCTCTCTCTCTTTCTTTCTTTCCTTCTCTTTCTCTTTCTTTCCCTCCCTCCTTCCCTCCCTCCCTCCCTTCTCTCTCTCTCTCTTTTGCATCCCTTACCTAGGTGGGAGTCACAGTGCTTGAGGCCCAGAAGCTGGTGGGAGTCAATATCAGCCCCTACGTGGCTGTGCGTGTAGGGGATCAGCGCCGAGTGACAGCAACGCAGCGTGGAACCAATTGCCCCTTCTACAATGAGGTGAGGGTGCCACCAAGGAAGAGGGCGGGGCCTGAGAGACCTGGTCCAGGCCAGAGGAGTCACCCCTGGAAAGAGCACAGAGTGCTAGCTCCTTTTAGGAAAGGGACCACATTCTCTATGCAAGAATTCGGGGCAAGCTGAACGATGCTTCCACGCCTAATGTCTCCTTGTTCTCACCCCTCACAACCCAGTACTTCTTGTTCGAATTTCACGAGACTCGGCTCCACCTCCAAGACTTGCTGCTGGAGATCACTGTAAGTGGGAAAGAGGATGCATGTCGGGAAAGGGGGGATGTCCACCTGGGCGTTTGGTGGCTGAGGCAGGGAGATCACCATGAGTTCAAGGCCCAGCCAGGGCTACAGAGTGCGACTCAAAAGGGGGACGGGAGGCTGGAGGGGAGGTGCCAAAGCCAGGACTAACACTTCTCCCCTAGGCTTTCCACTCGCAGACGCTCCCATTCATGGCTACCAGGATAGGCACCTTCAGGATGGACCTGGGCATGGCCTTAGACCAGCCAGGTATTGAACCCTCCTCTCGTTGAAGCTCTCTTGCTGGAACACAGACTCCGGAAACAGCCCCGGGCAGTCGCCTGCACTGTCCTCGCTGTCCTCGGCTCACTGACTCTTGGGAAGGCGGACCTTTCTCCCACCTTCTCCCTGGGCCAGACAGGATGCGGCGCCCCCGACCCCAGCCATTGCCCAGTGTCCCGAGGCGACTCCATGGATCCCTGTCCTGCCCCTCTGTCCTCAGATGGCCACTTCCATCAAAAATGGGCTCCTCTACACGATCCCCGCGACACCCGCGCCGGGACTAAGGGCTTCGTCAAGATCACCCTGTCCGTGAGGGCGCGTGGGGACCTGCCCCTTCCGCTGCCGCCCCCGTGCCCAGGGACCGGTTCGGACATAGAGAAGTGAGTTGGGGGTGAGGCGGGGGTGGAGGACTGCGTCGCCTGGGGGAGCAGAGCACTCAGACCTCAGCTCTACTCCTAGGAATCTCCTCCTGCCCCGCGGGGTGCGGGCCGAGAGGCCCTGGGCACGCCTGCGCGTGCGCGTGTACCGCGCCGAGGGGCTCCCCGCGGTGCGAACCGGGCTCCTGGGCAGTCTGGCCCGCGCCCTTCACGACCAGCACGTCCTCCTGGACCCCTACGTGCGGGTGAGCTTCCTCGGGCAGCAGGTAAGTCCCTCCCGTTCCCCGAGGTGCGGCTCAGGTCTTCGAAAAATTACTTATTTATCGAAGACATCTTTACTCATTTTGAGACAAGGTTTTGCTGTGTAGCCCTCCCTGGCTTGGAACTCGGAGATCCACTTGGCAGGGTTACAGACAGGCATGTGCCTCAGCGCCTGGCTAGTTTTATTCGTGTGTGTGTGTGTGTGTGTGTGTGTGTGTGTGTGTGTGTGTGTGTGTGTGTGTTTATAAATATTTTAATTTTATTGTATTAATTACAGCTATTCTTATTCTTAATTATGCGTATGCATAAATATCTGTGTGGGTTATGTGCACGTGAGTGCCGGTGCCCACAGAGGCCTGAAGAGGGCGTCAGGACCCTTGCAGCTGGAGTCTAGGTGGCTGTGGACTGGGCCCTCTACACTCGCCCTCTGGAAGAGCAGTGCTCGCTCCCGACCTAACCACTGGGCCATCGCTCCAGCTTTTATTTATTTTGTGTACGTGTGTGCGCCTTCCCTGAGAGCCACGGCACGGGTGTGAAAGTCGGGCACCCTAGGAGGGAGGTCAAAGTCAGGTCGCCAGGCTGCTATCCCGACGCACCTGGACGGATTAGCCATCTTCTGGGACCCGCCCCGTCCCGCCCCCGCTCCAGGGTGAGACTTCTGTGCGCGGAGAGGAGGCAGCTCCCGAGTGGAACGAGCAGCTGAGCTTCGTGGAGCTCTTCCCGCCGCTCACGCGGGCCCTTCGCCTGCAGCTGCGAGACGACGCGCCGCTCACGGACGTGGCGGTCGCCACGCTCGTCCTGGACCTGAGGCAGATCTCCAACTCGGGTCGTGCGGGTGAGCGTGTCTCCACCTTGGCCCACATGAGTCCTCAGAGCAAAGCCCGTCCTTGGAACACAGGTGGCCTCGGGAGCACGGCCATCCCGCAGAAGGCAGCGCTTTCACCCTAACCTTAGCCGCTCCCTAAGGCCCGGAGAGGTCCTCTGTCCTCTCCTGTTGTCACCGGCCTGGTGGCTTCCCTTCCCCATCTCTAGCACCGGAGGATCCAGCAGCGAACAGAGTGCAGAGCAGCACCGGTTTGTCCTGTGTGCCCCTCCAAATCCTGTTCTTGTCCCCCCACAGCGGGGTTTCACCCCACTTTTGGTCCGGCCTGGATGCCCCTCTATGGCTCGCTCCCCAGTGACAGGCTTCGGGATGGTCTTCAGAGTCTCAACGAAGGCCTTGGGGAAGGCATTTGGTTCCGGGGCCGACTTCTGGTAGCCGTGTCCACGGAGGTGTTCGAAGGCAGAGTTGACCCTAAGTCTCCCCAGACCACGCAGGGGTCCGGATTGTCACGGCTCACTGGAAAGAAGAAAAAGAAGAACAGGCAGGGTCAGCCCACAGGGGCTGTTCTGCAGCCTGTGGATGCCGGAGCCAGTGGGGTTGCACCAGAGATGCCCAGCGCAATGGACGTGGAGGTGGAGGAGCTGCTGCCTCTGCCAGAGGTGGGGGCTGGAGCCACCCTCAGCTCTGGGGCCTGTAAATCCCTTTCCAAGCTAGACCTCATGTGGCTGTTTCCAGTTTGGGGACTTGGAGGAAGAGTCCAGTGTGTGTGATACAATGCTGGCGTGTGTAAACAGGCTGTTTATAGAGGGGGTGGGCCAGAGATCAGTGTCCTGGACCAGTGGGGGAGCTACCAGGGGCCGGAAGGGAGGTAAGGCTCCCAGGGCCTCCTGGGCCTTACTTTGGATGCTTTTCTGTGGGCGTGGTGACCAAGCAGAGAATAGACTGCTCCCGGGCACGAGTTGACCCCACCCTCACTCTCTTCCCTAGAACGCCCTGGCACCCTGCGAAGATTTCCTGCTTTTTGGGGTGCTCTTTGAGGCCACCATGATTGACCCTTCACTGGCCAAAAAGCCCATCAGCTTGGAGATTTCCATTGGTGTGTGGCCCAGATGAGCCCCGAAGGCCGTGGGTTTGAGAGCGGTCCCTTCTTTCAGACACGAGGCCCCAGGAAGGGTGTTGACTTCAGGGAGAGGGGTGGGTTCTGCTTCTACCCAGGGAGGGACTGGGGAGGGAAATACCTGACCCTTAGCCTGATGCTCTGGGGTGCAGGTCGTGCAGGCCGCCGGGAGGAGCAGTTGGGCGGAGGGTCAAGGGCTGACGGGGGACCGGAGGGCAGCACGCTGGAAGCACAGCCTCTCCTGGCCTCTGAGGACAGAGGGTCGGGGCAGGAGGAGGAGGAGTTGCTGGGGACACCTGCTCAGTGGCCTGAGCCTGTGGATGGCAGTGGGTAAGTGCCCCGGGCGACTTGGAGGAGGGTACAGAGAGAGGTCCCAGAGCACTCAGGGCGCCCCCAAACCCTCGCCCCTTCTCTCTGGCCCAGGCCATACCTCTGCTTGCCTCTGCGCCACCAAAAGCCCTGTCTACATGTGTGGAGCCGCTGGGAGGATTACACTTGGCGCCTTTATAGCAGCAACAGTGTGTGCAAAGTAGCCGAGAGGCTGGTGAGAGCAAGGTGGCGCCCCCGAGGGGAAGGCTCAGCCACAGGACGTGGGAGACTGAAGCTCTTGAAGCCCTCCAAAGTAGAGGCTGATGGGGTGGAGCTGACACCTTGCTGGTGCAGGGCCAGGAAATGGTGGGCAAGCTCGAAGTTTCTAGGCAAACTGAGGAGAACAAGGTTGTGGGAACGGGGTTGGTGCAGTGATTGATGGAGTGGAGCCGGAAGGAAGCTAGAGAATTAGAACCAGAATCCGGTGAGGGCAAAGAAGGGCCACCAGAGTGGTGTGAGAGGGTGGGGGTTATGGGTCAGGGAGCTTCAAGACTGACTTTTCCTGGAGCCCACACAGGACCAGGGCCTGCGGGAGGTTGAGAAGATGCAGCGCAGGTCGGGGCTGGGTGCCTGCACACAACTCAAGCAGACTCTGGAGGAGCTGGTGGCTGGGAGCAGGTGAGCTGAGCGTCAGCCCGTGCAGCGACCCATCGGTGGCCAGTTTCAGGATGGGAGAGAGACTCGGGCTGTCTAGACCAAGGGTATTCTCAAGCTGCATTTGTCCAGCACCTATGGAGGAGTGAGGATGAGAGGTGTCTGTATCAAGAGAGCACGGTAGAGACCACGGGCTGTCGGGCTCCTACACACTTATGAGGCTTCCCTTCCCTCCTGTTTCAGAAGGAAAGTAAAACCCTGTTTAGCCAGGGTTTCTATTGCTGGAACAAAACACTGTGGTCAAAAGCAAGCTGGGGAGGAAAGGGTTTATTGGGCCTACACTTCCACAGCACAGTTCATCACTGCGGGAAGTCAGGGCAGGGATCAAACAAGGTGGGATCCTGGAGGCAGGAGCTGATACCCAGGCCGAGCAGGAGTGCTGGTTACTGGCTTACTCCCCTTGGCTTGCTCCACCTGCTCTTTTCAACAGAACTCAGGACCACCAGCCTAGGGAGGTCCCACCCACAGTTGGCTGGGCCCTCCCTCCTTGATCACTAATTGAGAAAAGCCTTACAGCTGGGTCTCATGGCGGCATTGCCTCAACTGAGGCCCCTCCTCTCTGATGAGTGTAGCTGTGTCAAGCTAACACATAATACCAGCCAGCAAACCTGGCCTCCTCTGGCCAGTGTGTACCTAGGCAGCTTCTGCATCTGCTTGCTGGTTCTAGTTCCTGATGCGGGGAGGAAGCACGGCTCCCCAGGCAGCACCTCTGTGATACCGACTTAACCTCCTTTCACCCCCTGCCTAACTAGCTCCGCTGTTATCTGTGTCGCTCCTGCACCCTTAACTGGTCCTTTCTCAGTCTCCAGTTGTTGCTCTAACCACGCGAACAAGTTCTGGTTGTTTCCATCTTTCATGGCCACGATTTGATACCCTGCTCCAGGCACCTAATACCCTTTCTTTTGGAAGGGTGCTTTTCTCAAAAGTTTTCTCTTTATTCTGCAAACACATGTGACACTTCCTGTGTCATTGTAATAGTCATGGTTTCTTCTCTGGGTAAGAGGGGAGAGCCACTGAAGGTTGTGGAATTCGAATTTATAACTTTAGAAAGGACGAGTAGGTGAGAGATGGTGCGAGAGAGAAGACAGGACTAGTAAACAAGGCTTTGTAATAGTTTAGGTGGCAGGAGATGGGTGAATGGATTCAAGGGCTGTGGGCGCAACTCACTCGACAAAGTGCTTGCCTAGCTCATGCAAAGCCCTGGGTTCCATCTCCATCACCGAAGAACCCAGGCATGGTGGTGCATTCTTGTAATCCCAGCACTTGGGAGGCAGAGGCAGGAGGATCAGAAGTTCAAGGTCAACCTCAGCTTGAGAACAGCTAAGATCAAAAGCCTATAAATAGACAGGTAGATAGGTAGAAGTCTGGGCAGTGGTGGCATATACCTTTAAAGGCAGGTGTATCTCTGTGAGTGTGAGGCCAGCCTGCTCAACCAAATGAATTCCAGAGCAGCCAGGGATACACAGAGAAACCCTGTCTCACCAAACAAAATAACAACAAAAGGCCAGGGGAGTGAATTCAAGAGAAAATTTGCAGTTGGCTATGTTACAGACAGAGAAAAGGAGAAAAATGTGTAAAGTCCCAAATGACTCCCAAGATTTTTGATACTGTATCTGTTACAAAACTGACTCAAGGAAGGAAGAATTTGTTTTGGTTTACAGCTATAGAGGTTACAGTCATTTGCAGCAGGGGAAGCCCTTCAGCAAGAGCAGAACACAGCTGCCCACACTGTGTCTACACTCAGGAAGCAGGGAATGACAAATGCCTGGGGCTCAGCCCACTTCCTCCATTTGATTCAGTCCAGAACCTCGGCCCGTGAGATGGTGCCACACACAGTCCTGGTCTTCCCAAATAAATTAACGCAATCTAGAAAACCTCTCACACATGCCTAAGGGCTCGCTTCCTTGGCTGCTGTGGAACCTATCAAGTTGCGGGTCCACATCAGCCACCACCGGCTGCCTGTAGACGGTACTGTTAGCTAAACTGTGGAAAACAGGAAGGCAGGCAGGAAGGGGGCTGGAGGCTTGCTTCTGTTAGCCAGCCTTGAGAGTGGACATGTATCTAGCAGGGAAGCGCAGCACAGACTGGATTCTGGGGATGATCGTTTGCTGGAAATGCAGATTTACCATTATGTGAACGAGGCTGGACAAGGTCCCCTAGAGTGCAGAGAAAGAGATTTGAACACCTGCAGAGACTCAGCTGTGACCCCAGGACAGAAGCACTGAAGTCATGGGCTGTGGATGCTCACGTCTTGTCCATCCCTTTAGTGCCAGGGGACACAGTAGAGCTCACGCCTTCCGGAAATACACTGCTGCTGACTTCCACAACACTCCCAGCCTTCTTCCTGCATGGCCTGCTCACTCCTTTTGCTGTCCCCTCCCTCTGAGATGGGGTCTCACTGGATACCTGTGGTGGGGTAATGGGTGTGGTATGATCCTCGAAGAGACAAAAAAGAAACTTGGTTTACTCCAAATTTTAGATGCTGGTGCTGACCCAAATCATTTATTTTAGCCATATTTTAAGCACAGCACAATTTTGGGGAAAAAAAGGGTTTTCTGATAAGAACTAAGTCCCAAGTGACATGTTGACACTGAGAATTTTTACAAAGTACATCTGGCTGCTTTCAGAAGACTGGGCGCTGTTGGCTCAGAGACAGGGTCCAAAAGTTAGGGTCGAGGGACCTTGACTGAGGTTAGCATCCACTGTGGCAGTCAGGCCTGGTCTGGCCCCAAAGATAACATAGAAGTCACTTAGGCTGTTGTACATGTGAATCACTTAAAAGGTTGGGTTTTATGGCCTAGAAGGAATGCTCAAGGTTTTAGGGAGAAAGGCTCTGGGATAACTAAAATGTAAATTCTGGGAGATAGAGGCAAAGCCTGCCTCATCAGGCAGCAGAGGGTCACCAGGCTGTAAGCTATACCCACTCCCAGCATTCCAGAGGAACCAGCTAAGTGTCTCATCCCATTGAAGAGGTCAGCTAGCTCGTCCTGGCTTCTCCAGCGCTCATCGGTGGGCACAAGGACTTTTTGTCCTCTACATAATTTACAGAGGAGCGAAAAGGCCAGTGTGACACGAGGTTGTCCTTGATGGGGGCGAGGCACGTTTGATGAGGATGGAGAGAAGGAACCAGATGTGCAGGGCTTTTTAGGCCATTTTTAGAGTCTTGCGTTTTACTCTTAGATAAGAAGCAAGTGCAGTGGAGCGAAATAGAAAGGTGTTGGCAGCTTTCCGGGTGCTTTTGAGGATGTTTTATGGGGTGACGGTGAGAACAGCAGCCAGTGCAGTGAGGAGGTGAATGCCTTAATCCAGGTGACAAACTTAGACTGGGTGGTCCTGGGGGAAGGTGAAGTGGTTAGATGCTGCCTGTTAGTGTGTGCATGCGTGTGCTGGACATTAAACCCAGCCTCATACATGCTAAACATCTGCTCTGAGTCTTGCACCCATCCTGGTTCTGGGTTTAAGAAAAAAAATGTAAATTTGCTGATAGCTTAAGGTAACATATGACTTCTATGTGGGTTCGTGGGTTGGTTTCTGTTTTTTAAGACAAGCTTTCTCTGTGTAGTCCTGGATGACCTAGAACTCACTCTGTAGACCAGGCTGGGCTTGAACTCACAGAGAACCGCCTACCTCTGCCTCCCAAGGGCTGGGATTAAAGGTGTGCACCACCACCAACCAGCTTCATTTCTATGTGTTTTTAAAAACATTCCTTAATAACATTAAACTGCAATTGTAAGAGAGATTTAATTTTTAACTGTGTGTATGTGCCGTGCATGTGCGCGTAGTCAGAGCATGAAGTTAGAGCGGTTTGCAGGAGCCGGCTCTCTCCTGTCACGTGGGCTCTCACATCGTTAGGCTTTCCCCTGAGCCGTCTCAGCCGCGACTCTTCGATGGGTGGAGGTATCACTAGAAATCTAGTTGGTTAGTTGGTTTGGCCGTATTATACCCCCCCACCAGACAAGGTCTCGTTTTGTTGCCCTGGCTGTCCTAGAGCTCCCCGTGCAGACCAGGCTGATCTCAGACCCAGAGAGATCACCTTCCTCTGTCCCCCAAGTGCTAGGATTAAAGTTGTCATGTATTGCTTCACGGAGAAGTCTTCCAGTCAGGCTGGCGCAGACTGGAGCACGCCTTCCTCCCTGACCTGGGTACAGACTCTCCCAGAGTGTAAACAAGCAGGCCTTGATGCTGTAGGCCTGGGGTGGGGCTGGCGTTTCTAACTAGCATGCAGAGGGCAGTCAGGCTGCTGGGCCCTGGGCCGTAACTGAGGTAGCCAGGACAGGAGATGTTAAATATTGGTGACTGTAGGGCTCAAATTTAAACCAGGCTGCAGTTCATGTGTTTTGGGCATGGCTCTCTGAGGAAGGACTGTCAGGGTCAGGAAATAGGCGGCCTTCCTGAGGGGAGCGGTTCCAGGGTCCTGTTCTCAGCTTTGACTTCCCTCTGTAGACAGTTCTGCCAGGGTGCTGAGCGCAGGGTGATGACTCGACCCAACGCCCTGGACCGATGCCGAGGGAAGCTCCTGACACACAGCCTGGTACATGGCGGGGAAGGGGAGGAGGCAGGGTGCTTAGCTGAGTCCTTCTCCTCATGGTCTCCTCCTGCCCTTCCAGAACCTGATGGCAAAGCAAGGGTTGCAGCTTTTGCGAGGCCTGAGGCAGAACACTCTGCAGAGGAAGGTGGTGCTGGCCAAGAAGCTCCTGGCAAAACTGCGCTTCCTGTCTCGGGAGGTGACCGTTCCTACCACACCTTCCTACTCTGCATGCTTCCCCCCTAAGTTCTGGACCCTTCCAGAGACTTCTGGGCGGATGCAACTGTTGTCCTTTGGATGGCGTCCTTGTGCTGCGTGATTCTTTCGGTGCAATTAGGGGTGAGGAAGGCTAGGGCTCAGCAGGGATCCAGAGATCACTTCAGGATCTGTTTGGAAGGACAGGTGACTGACTCGCCACGCGCTGACTGGAATGTGTGAGGAAAGCTCGCGCTTTGGGGACACTTTCTACACTAAGGATCCGCTCCCACTCTCTAGTGTGATTCTGCCAACAGCCTTGGGGGAGGGGGTCTGTGCACACAGTGGAAGCTAATGGTCCAGCCATTGTGGCACAGCTGGCTAAACAGTAGCTGCAGTTCAAGCATATTTGATAGTTGGAGTTTGGTGTGTGAGAGAGGATGGATGCCAGGCATGCACAAATGCCCAGAAACGGGAGGCTTGGGCAGGTGGAAGTCAGCACTGGAAGGAGCTGGGTAGAAATGCCATTAAATTGACTCTTAGAGCAAAATTAATAATCTTCCTTCCTGGGGGCTGAGGAGATGGCTCAGAGGTTAAGAGCACTGGGTGCTCTTCCAAAGGTCATGAGTTCAATTCCCAGCAACCACATGGTGGCTTACAACCATCTATAATGAGATCTGGTGCCCTCTACTGGCCTGCAGGTGTACACATAATAAATAAATCTTAAAAAAATAATAATAATCTTCCTTCCTTCCTAGCTCTCCTTTCCCCTTTTCCTCTCTTTCCTTCCCTTCCTTCCTCTTCTCCCTCCCTTTTTCTTTCCCTTCATCCCTTTCTTCTTTTCTTCCTTTTTTTGTGTACCTTGACTACGATAAGCATGTGTTTTACCACTAAATCACATTTCTATCCTGTCTTTAAATTTTTAATGAAATCCTCCTTTATCAAATTATGACATAAACATCCATCCTATCTAGTTTCATTGTTTTGTTTGTTTGTTTATTTGTTTTTGAGGCAGTGTTTCTTGAAGCCCAGGCTGACCTGGAACTTATCTGTAGAACAGGCTGGCCTTGAACTTGGAGATTTGCCTGCCTATGGCTCCCACGGGCTAACAGCATATGCCACCATGCCTGGCTTCGTTTTTTTCTTTTATTTTTTTTTTAAGGTTTATTTATTTTCTGTGTATGGATTCTTTGTCTGCATGTATGATTTTGCACTGTGTTGATGCCTGGCATCTGTAGGCAGAAGAGGCGTCAGGTCCCCTGGAGCTGGAGTCACAGATGATTGTGAGCCACCACATGGGCCCCGGGACCCAAGTCCAGGTCCTCTGTAAGAGCAGCAAGTGCTTTTACTCACTGAGGCAGCTCTCCGTTCCTGGCTTTGTTGCTTTGAAGGGTTCCGTTATTTTGCTTTTTGTGGTTCTTGGGAACCGGCCCTCAGGTGGAAATGGGAGTTAGGGTTTGGTGAAGTACTGAGTCTCTGTTTTGTAAGATAGTGGTTCTGCAGACACATGGCAGCTGCCAGCACAGCTGCCAATGGGCCTAACACCATTGTACTGTGGACTTAAAAATGGTGAGGGCAGAGGGCTGTGCGCCGCGTGAAGACTGCAAGCTGGATTCTGAGCCTGAGCCGCCCTATGCTGCGTCCCGGAGGAGAGATCAGGGCCACGTGGCTGCAGAAGCAGGGGTTCAGAAAGAGTCAGGGCACTTGGTCTGTCCGCACAGCTTAAGCTTCAGGGATGAGGTGGTCTCAGGTCCAGACTCCAGGCAACCCTGCCCTCCCCTTGCAGCCACAGCCACCCCTCCCGGACGTGCTGGTCTGGATGTTCAGCGGCCAGCGCCGAGTGGCCTATGCCCGCATCCCTGCGCAGGACGTGCTGTTCTCCGTGGTTGAGGAGGAACGAGGCCGAGACTGCGGGAGGATCCAGACTCTGCTGCTCACAGTGAGGCGGGGCTGGGGAGAGCGGGGTGAGGGTCACACACAGGACAGGACACCAGAGCTCCCTGACTGTTTTCAACTGTCCAAAAAGCCAAAAGGGGGTTGTGGCTTTGTCCACGTCAGCTTGGGAGTGAGGTAAAGAGCACACTTTCCGCCCTGAACCTACAGTGGCCCTGACACACAGGCACGGTGATGAGGAAGGAGAGCGATCATTCTTGAGAGCAGAGCTGATTTACAGGCAGAAAATTTCCAAATGAGCTGTCCCTGGAAAAGGTACCCAAACAGGTTTTTATTCTAGATGGTTGTGAGCCACCATGTGGTTGCTGGGAATTGAACTCAGGACCCTGGGAAGAGCAGTCAGTGCTCTTAGCCTCTGAGCCATCTCTGCAGCCCCCACCAAAACAGGTTTTTAATGTGACCCTTGGGGTAAAGGACAGATAGTGTAAATGTGTGGAGGATGGAGGGGGCAAAGAGAGGCAGATCATAAACTTGGGGTTAGGGCTGTGGACACAGGAAGTGACAAAGGCAGGGCAGTGTAAGTGGATGGGACAGAGTGCATGCAGAAGGATGCAGAAGGAAGTGGGAGCAGAGGGGATGCCTCCTGCATTGGGAAGCTTGGGTACCGCCTCTCTTCAGCAGAGAGATTTGGGGCAGGGGGCCTCCAGTGTGCCTCCTTCACACACAGGCACCCGGGGCAGCCCCTGGGGAGGTCTGTGCCAAGCTGGAGCTCTTCCTGTGGCTGGGGCTGGGCAAGCAAGCCAAGGCCTGCACCTCTGAGCTGCCCCCGGATCTTCTGCCTGAGCCGTCGGCTGGGCTGCCCCACAGCCTACACCGGGATGGTGAGTTCGGGGTCAGGGGCCAGCCCCACCTTGCTGTTTGCCCTGAGTTGGGGGCTCATGAGCCAGGGAATCCCAGTGGTCTCCTAAGCAAGCATGGCTCCTTCCCTGTCCTCATCCCAGACTTTAGCTACTTCCAGCTGCGGGCTCACCTGTACCAGGCCCGAGGCGTGTTGGCAGCAGATGACAGTGGCCTCTCGGACCCCTTTGCACATGTCCTCATCTCTACCCAGTGCCGGACCACACGGGTGAGGGCCAGGCTGGGACATAGGCAGAGGGGAGCAGGGCACAAGGTGCCCTAAGTTTCTCTTTCCACTTTGAGTTTTCAGGACAGTGTACTAGAAAGGACTCTGCTCTGACTCGGGCAGTGGTGTAGAATGGAGAGCCGCTGCTTCTTGACTCTGGGGCTACGATAAGAGAGTGGCAGCCAGGTGATGGTGGCCCACACCTTTAGTCCCAGCACTTGGGGGGTGGAGGCAGGCGGATTTCTGTGAGTTCGACGCCAGCCTGGTCTACAAAGGAAGTCCAGGACAGCCAGGGCTACCCAGAGAAACCCTATCTTGGAAGAGAGAGAGAGAAAGTCAGACCGTAAGGCCCCTAGGGAGACACCTGAGATGCACACCCATGCCTTTGGTGACAGTTAAGTATCACTTTGGCTGCCAACCTGGCCAATGAGGGAGCTCCTTTCTGACATCTGCCTTTGCCCCTTTCTCTGCGTGGTTCCCAAGGTCTTGGAGCAGACACTGAGCCCCTTGTGGGATGAACTCTTGGTGTTCGACCAGCTGATTGTGGATGGCAGGCGAGAACACCTGCGGGAGGAGCCTCCCCTAGTGGCCATTAATGTCTTTGATCACAATAAGTTTGTGAGTGTGTCTCCTCATCCCCATCCCGCTTCCTCTCCCCTCCCCAGCCTTGATGCCTCCCCTTTAGCTTCTGAGAGGATCCTCCCCGACTCCCTCCCTGCATTTTTTGGGTTGTGGGGTGCAGGGTCTCACCATATAGTCATGGCTGGCCTGGAACCATAGAGGCCACCATCTCTGTCTTCTAAGTAGTGGGTTGAAAGATGTAGCTGCCACAGCCAGCTATATCCTTAAAAAAATTATTTATTTTTAATTTAATGTACATTGGTGTTTGACTGCATGTATGTCTATGTGAGAGTGTCGGATCCCCAGGAACAGGAGTACAGACAGTTATGAGCTGCCATGTGGGTGCTGGGAACCCAGGTCCTCTAGAAGAGCAGTCAGTGCTCTTAACCGCTGAGCCATTTTCCAGCCCTAGCTATATCTCTCTTATCTCCTCACTGCTTTGTCTCTCACAGGGCCCTGCTGTGTTCCTGGGCAGGGCATTTGCAGCCCCAAGAGTAAAGCTGATAGAGGACCCATATCAGCGCCCTGAGCTGCAGTTCTTCCCCCTGAGGAAGGGACCACAGGGCGCTGGAGAAGTCATTGCCACCTTTGAACTGATTGAACTGGACTACAGTGGCCGCCTTGAGGTTAGATTTAACCTGTCTTTCCACCTTAGCGGTCAGGCTTCCTATCTCAGGGTACCCCAAGGATAACCATCTAGTCTCTCGCTCCAGAGAATGCTGGCTGCAAGTCTCCCCCGGGGTTACCTCATTGGCACCCTGACCCCAGGATTTCTGATGGACACAGGATGCTATACCTAGGGAACCTAGACTGCTGTTCAGCCTGGGGTAATCCTGTCCCAAATTTCAGGCTCCCACTGCTTTCTGGGAAGTCCTACCCTTGAATCCAGCTCTGTCTGGTCCCCCTGCACGTGTACCTCACAGAAACTCATGGCTCTTCTCCAAGCCCGTTTTAGCGTGAATTCTGATTTTTTTTTTCTTGTAGCCCTCAGTGCCTAGTGATGTGGAGCCCCAGGATCTGGCTTCCCTGGTTGAGCCTGTCTCTGGACACCTGTCCCTGCCTCCTAGTGTGCGCCCTGTGCTCAGGGAGTTCCGTGTTGAGGTAGAGCCAAGCACCGGAAGCCTCCTCACTTCCCCTCACGTCAGCCGTAGCCCCTGAGCCTCCCTCTTCCTGACCTTAGGTGCTGTTCTGGGGTCTTCGAGGCCTGGGTCGTGTCCACCTGTTTGAGGTGGAAAAGCCCCAGGTTGTTCTGGAAGTGGCTGGCAGACGTGTGGAGTCTGAAGTTCTGGCCAGCTACCGAGAGAATCCTAACTTTACAGAGCTTGTCCAGCATGTGACAGTGGTGAGAGTGGGCACAGAGCATGTCCAGTGTGACAGGGGTGAGGGATGGGCACAGAGCATGTTCGGTGTGTGACAGTGGTGGGAGTGGGCCAGGACACAGGCTGTGGATGGAGGAGTGGAGGAGGCAGAGGGCGGTGAATTCCAGCTGGCTATGCTAGGTTGACTCAGGAGCAGCATTCTCCATCAAAGGCCAGATAATATTTTAGGCTTTTATCTGCATCTCTTCAACTTTGGTACTGTAGATGAAAACAGGAAAAGACAATGTAGAAATGAAGATAACTGTATTCTGACAAAACTTATAGAACTGGGAGTGGGCACGACATGGTAGTGGTTCCATGACCTCTAGATTAATCTAGACTGGTGGCATCCTCTTGGCTGTGGTGAATGAAGGCGTTGGCCCGGGGTCCCGAGGGATAAACGCTAGAGAAGCTATCCAGGCTCTGAAATACAGAGGATGAGAAAAAACAAACAAACAAACAAACAAAAAAACACTACAGAGGCTTCATAGATGATTTAATGATTATTTTTTTTTTGGGGGGGGGGCGTTGCTGGAGCCCTCAGGCCAAAGCCTAACACAGGAGACCCATACCCCGCCACTGGGCCGCTCCCACTCTCACCGCTGCTTAGTTTCAATTACGGTTGGATGGGCTTGGCGGGTCAGTTTCTGCCAATACAGTTTAGGGTCTCATCAAATCATTTGTCCTTTTGATTTTATTTCATGTTGAGACGCAGTAGCGCTGGCTGGCCTGAAACTCATAAAGTTCTGTCTGTTTCCTATGTGCCTGGATGGGCTGCTATCATGTACAGGCTAATCATTCATCCATGAGATCCAGTTTTTCTATTCCTTTTTTTTTTTTTTTTTTTTTTTTTTTTACTTATTCCTTGTTTGAGCCAGGGTCCTGCTGTGCAGCCCAGGCTGGCCTGGAACTCCGGATCCTTAGCCTCTTGAATACTGGGATTACAGTTGTGAGCCCCAGCTTGGGTCCAAAGCACTATTTTCCTTTCCTCCTCTCCTTTCTCCTCCCTGCCCTTCTTCTCTCCTCCCCTCAGGGGGAGGTCTGAGGTATTTTCCTCCCCTCCCCTTCCCTCATGTGGAGGTCAGAGGTCACCTCTGAGAAGTCAGTTTTCTCTTTCCACCTTTACATTAGTTTCCAGGATCAAACTAGGGTCACCAGACTTGTGTAGCTGGTATGTTACCCTCTCGGCAATCTTGCCAGCACTGTACGGCTCTTTCAGAAATTTCCATACTGCCTTCCATGGAGGCTGCACCCATTTGTACTCCTACCAGCATTAAATAAGGATTCCTCTTTCCCCACATCCTTGCCAGCATTTTTGTTTTGTTTTTGGTTTTTTTGTTTGTTTGTTTGTTTTGTTTTGTTTTGTTTGAGACAGTGTTTCTCTGTGTAGCCCTAGTTGTCCTGGAACTTGCACTATAGACCAGGCTTTCCTCAAAGTTAGAGATCTGTCTGCCTCTGCTTCCTGAGTGCTGGGATTAAAGGTGTGTGCCACCATAGCCCTACTTTAAAACAAATTTATTACATTTCAAAATTATTGTGTTTATGTTCTCGTGTGTGTACTGTGCATGCACACAGTGGCCACATGTGGAAATGAGAGGACAACCTGCGGGAGTCAGTTCTTCCTTCCACCTCATGGACCTCAGGGATTGAATTCAGGTCATCAGGCTTGGCACAAAGCACTTTTACCTGCTCAACCACCTCTCTGGTCCATTCTGTGTCTTAACGATAGCCATTCTGATTGGGGTGAGATGGAAATTTCAAAGTAATTTTAATTTACATTTCCTTATCAGCTAAGGATGTTGAACACTTTTAAAAATATTTGTTGTGAGGCTGCAGAAGTGACTCACCAGATAAGACACTGGCTGCTCTTGAAAAGGACCCATGTTCAATTCCCAGCACCCACGTGGTAATCCACAACTTCGCATGACTCCAGTTCTAGAGATCCAGGGCCCTCCTCTGGCCTCTGTGCATACTTGCATGTATGTGGCGTGCGCGCACACACACAAACACACACACACACACACACACACACACACACACACGCACGCACATATACATGTATACTTTTTGTTGGCCATTTGTTGTTTTGTGTCCTCCTCCTCCTTCTTCTGTATACTATTATATGTGTGAATAGTGGTACTTTGACCTCTTCCTTTCCAATATGTATTCCCTTGATCTCCTTTAGTTGTCTTTTTGCTCTAGCTAGGACTTCAAGTACCATATTGAAGAGATTCAGATAGAATAGGCAGTCCCCCTTTTCGTTTCTGATTTTGTTAATTTGGATATTGCGTCTCTGCCATTTAGTCAGTTTGACTAAGGCTTTGTCTATCTTGTTGGTTTTCTCAAAGAACCAGCTTTCGTTTCATTTGTTCTTAGTATTGTTCTTTCTGTTTCTAGTTGATTGATTTCAGCCCTGAGTTTGATTATTCCCTGCCATCTACTCTTCTTAAGTGTGTTTGCTCCTTTTTGTTCTAGAGCTTTCCGGTGTGCTGTTAAGTTGCTAGTATGAGATCTCTCCCATTTCTTTATGAAGACTCTTAGTGCTATGAACTTTCCTCTTAGCTCTGCTTTCAATGTGTCCCATAATTCTGAGTGTGTGTGTCTTCATTTTCATTGAAATTTAGGAAGTCTTTAATTTTTTTATTTATTCCCAGACCCAGTGGTCATTGAGTAGAGAGTTATTTACTTTCCATTAGGCTTTCTGTTGTTTTGTTGTTGCTGAAGTCCATCTTTAAAACACAAGGGGCTATTTCATTTTTTTTTTTTTAAATCTGTTGAGGCTTGCTTTGTGACCAACTATATGGTCAGTTATGGAGAAGGTTCTGTGAGGTGCTGAGAAGGTGGTAAATTCTTTTGTGTTTTGGGTGAAGTGTTCTGTGGATATATTAGTTTCATTGTTTCCCTGTTTAGTTTCTGTCTCGATGACCTGTCCATTAGTGAGAGTGGTGTGTTGAAGTCTCCCCCTGCTAATGTGTGTGAGTCTGTGTGTGATTTAAGCTTTAGTAATGTTTCTTTTACAATGTGGGTGCCCTTGTATTTGGGCATAGATGTTCAGAGTTGAAATATCATCTTGGTGGATTTTTCCTTTCATAAGAATGAAGTGTCCTTCCCCATCTCTTTTGATTAATTATGGTTGAAAATCTATTTTATTAGTTATTAGAATGGCTACTCCAGCTTGCTTCTTGGGTCAGTTTGCTTGGAAACCCTTTATCCAGCCCTTTACTCTGAGGTAATGTCTATCTATCTTTGTTGCTGAGGTCTGTTTTTTTTAAACTTTTATTTATTTATTTTATGTATATGGGTGCTCTATCTACATGTGCACCTGCATGCTGGAAAAGGGAATTAGAGAGTACAGATGACTGTGAGCCACCATGTGGTTGCTGGGAATTGAACTCTGGACCTCTGGAAGAGCAGACAATACTCTTTTTTTTTTTTTTTTTTTTTTTTTTTCCAGAGCTGAGGACCGAACCCAGGGCCTTGCGCTTGCTAGGCAAGTGCTCTACCACTGAGCCAAATCCTCAACCCCCAGACAATACTCTTAACTGCTGAGCCATCTCTCTAGCCTGAGGTGTGTCCTTCAATGCGGAATGATGGATCCTGTTTTCAGATCCATTCTGTTAGCCCGTGTCTTTTTATTGGGGAATTGAGTCCATCGCTATTGAGAGAGGTTAATAAGCAATGATTGCTAGTTTCTGATATTTGGATGACGTTGGTGGTTGTGTGTGTACTTCTCCTTTCATCTTGCTGCAGTGGAGTTATTTATTTCCTGTGTTTTCTTGGTTGTAGTTAACCTCCTTAGCTTGGAGTTTTCCTTCTAGTATCTTCCATTGGGCTGGATCTAGACATAAACTGTTGAAGTTTGTTTTTTGTCATGTAATATATTGTTTTATTCGTCTATGGTAATTGAAAGTTTTGCTAGCGCCAGGTGTGGTGGCACACACCTGTAATTTCAGCACTCTGGGAGGTAGAGGAAGGCGGACCTCTGGGAGTTTGAGGCCAGCCTGGTCTGCAAAGGGAGTCCAGGACAGCCAAGGCTACACAGAGAAACCCTGTCTTGAAAAACCAAAAGACCAAGAGAGAGAGAATTTCTGCTGGGTAGTCTGGGTTGGCATGTAGTCATCCTGCCCATAGCCTTCTGGCTTTCAGAGTCTCTGGAAAGTGTGTAATTCTGATAGGTCTGCCTATCTATGTTACTTGGTATTTTTCCCTTGCAGCTTTTAATATTCCTTCTTTGTTCTGTACATCTAATGTTTTAATTATGTGGCACAAGGATTTTTTTTTTTTACAAGGATTTTCTTTTCTGATTTACTTGGTGTTCTGTAAGCCTCTTGCATATTTATAGATATCTCTTTATTTAGGTCGGGGAAATTTTCTTCTATGATTTTGTTGAAAATATTTTCTGGTCTTTGGAATTGGGAATCTTCTGTTTCTTCCATTCTTATTCTTAGGCTTCATGTTTTCATGTTTCATGTTTTCATAGTGTCTGTGATTTCTTAGATGTTTTGTGTCAGGAATTCTTTAGGTTTAACATTTTCTTTGACAGATAAGCTGATTTCTTAAGTTGTATCTTCTGCACCTGAGATTGTCTCCTCCACCTCTTGCATTCTGTTGGTGATGCTTATGTCTGTAGTTCCTGTTCTCTTCCGAGTTTTCCATCTCCAGAATTCTCTCCATTTGTGTTTTCTTTGTTATTCCTATTTCCATTTTCAGGTCTTAAACCGTTTTATTAATTTCCTTTATTTTTTTCTGCATTTCTTCAAGGTATTTATTCATTTTCTTTTTGAAGGCCTCTATCTTCTTGATTGTATTTTCTTGTATTTCTTTAAGGGATTTATTCATTTTCTTGTGAAAGGCCTCCATCATTCTCATTTATGGTTATGAGCCCAGCCTTTAACAGCTGAGCCATCTCTCCAGCCCCTCTATCATCTTCATAAGAATAGATTTAAGGCCATTTTGTTGTGCTTCAGCTGTGTTAGGAATGCAGAGCTTGCTAGAGTAAGATAGCTGGGTTCTGGTAGTGCTATGTTGCCCTGGCTCTTGTTGAGTGCATTCTTACACGGGCCTGTGGCCATCTGGCTGTCCCTGGCATTGGCTGGTTGTTTCTGGAGTCCAGCAACCTTCCTGGGGATGGTGGGTAGGGCTCTGGGCCAGAGACTGGATCTCAGGGAATAGATGGCAGCTCTCCTCTGCTGGCTGTGTCCCCGCTGGACACACAGGCAGGGCTTAGGGTGTGGGGGTCTCACCTGGATGATCCTGAGGTGCAGCTGATCTTCTCGGGAAGGTGGGTAGAGTAGTGGACAGGAGGCTGCTTGAGCCTGGAGCCTGGGAGCCATCCTCAGAAAGGTGGATAGGCCCAGCACTTGCCAAGGCTGGGACTGTGTGTCTCTGGGGTCCCGGCAGCTCTCCTAAGGAAGGTGGTTAGAGCTGGAGGCCAGAGGCTGGGTGGACCTGAAGCCCAGGAGCCCTCCTCGGGAAGGTGGATAGTCCCAGCATCCACCATGCTGGGACTATCAGCATGGCTGCTCAAGCAGCCTCCTGTCCACTACTCTACCCACCTTCCCGAGAAGACCAGCTTCACCTCAGGATTATCCAGGTGAGACCCCCACACCCTAACCCCTGCCTGTGTGTCCATCAGCCATGCCCCATCCTCATCCATCACTTTTTACTTACTATGTTTTGAGTTAGGTGGTATGTTTGTTTGTATAATTAGGTGTATGTTTGTTTACAGTTGTTTTAGCTTCCTGATGAATTAACCCATTTACCAGTGCAGAATGACCCTCTTTGTCTCTAGTAATGTTTCTCCTCAGTCTATCTCACCCAATGGTATAACTTCTCCAGTTTTCAATTACTGTTTGCCTGATTATCTCCTAGTTCTTCCAATGCATGTGTGTCTTTTTAATTTGTTGTTTATTTTTGTGATGCTGGATATGGAACTGAGGGCCTCCAACATGCTATGCAGTCTACAGCTGAGCCATATCCTCAGCCTTCAGCCTATATATGTGTTTAAATCTAAAGAGTATTTCATCTGGGCGAGGTGGCACATGCCTTCAATCCCAGCACTTCCAAGGCAGAGGCGGTTCTGAGTTCAAGGCCTGGGGGGTTCAAGGAAGTGTCTGGAGCTTGAGTTAGCTTGTCACATCACACCCACAGGCAAGAGAGGGAACCGGTCCATCCATACAGTGCTCAGCATGGTTTCTAGGCCTACACAGTCCAGGATCCCCTGCCTGCGGGAATGGTGTCTTCTAACGTGTGTTGGATCCTCCTGGTTTACAATTAATGTGATCAGAAAAACGCCTCCCACAACCTGATATGGACAATCCCCTACGGAGACTCTATTCCCAGGCAATTCTAGCTTGTATCCAATGGACAAAATGTCACAACCACGAATGCTGATTCTTACAATTTATTGCAGAGTATTACTCATTTTTGTTTGTTTTGAGACAGGGTCTCACTAGGTAACTCTGGCTATCCTGGAATCATTATGTAGGATAGACTGGCCCCAATGTCAGAGATCTAGAGATCCGCCTGCCTCTGCCTCCCAAGATGGGAATAAAGGCGTGTGCCACCACAGCTAGCTCTGGTATTTACTCATTTGTAAGACGTGGTGGCATATTTCCATGACCCCAGAATTTAGGAGGCAGCAGCAAGAGAATCATGGCAACTTTGAGGCTATCGTTGTCTACATAGCAAGTTCCAGGCCAGCCAGGGCTACATGGCATTTTTGTTTGTTTTGAGATAGGGTTTCTCTGTGTAGCCCTGACTGTCCTGAAACTTGCCCTGTAGACTACGCTGGCCTCAAACTCAGAGTCCCACCTACCTCTGCCTCTCGAGAGCTGGGATTAAAGACGTGTGCCACTACTGCCTGGCTACACAGCATCTTATTTAAAACTTCTAAAAAAATTAATAATAATTTAATTCCAGGGAAATGTTGATGCTGTTCTCCAGTATAACTATTTCTTCCCCTCTTTGAACATAATAAGTGAAACCAGAGACCATGTAATAATTGTCCTTCTCCTTTTGGGTACCAGGGATGGTTAGGGGATCTCTTGGTCAAAGTCCATTGTTGTAAGTGACTATTAATATATACTATTGATATATCTTCTGGTAAAGCTTGCTGTTAATCCTAAACAGCTGTATATCTAAATCACCACACAGACACTGGAATTTATTTAATTAACCTAGAACACAATGCTGGGCAATAGTTACTCCCTCTTAAACCTCAATCCCTCATAGTTTCCTAACATTTAGATTTTACCCATTATACTTGTTTTTTGTGAAATCTTAGGTCTGGTTCATTCTCCATGTCGTTCCAAGATCTGTTCACCAGCTCTGCTCACTTAGTCCCCCCCCCCCCCCCCCCCCCCCCCCCCCCCCCCCCCCCCCCCGTCCCTGGCTCCTCCCCTCTTTCCTGTCCTCTGGCTCCTCTTCTCCCGCCTACTCCTCCTTCTCTATTGCTCAACCTTGTTGCTGGTTGTTTTATTTTGGATGTTTACACAAAGTTGAGACAGGTGATGCTTAGAATAAGTATCACAATGCAATATCCGAATTGAAACCAGAGAGTGGAGGGGGGAGGAAATCAGCATTTGAATGAACAAGGGTAAGGTGTATACATTTCAAAAGAACATTATACCAACAGTCCATATACATTTTAACGGTTCAGACTCTACATTTTCAGGGTGGGCATTCATCCTGTACGGGAGAACAACACTAGCCTGTGTTTCCGGTAGCACTTTGTAGGTGCCAAAGCTCCTTTGTATCGGCTATGTCGGTACACTTAGTGCAGTGTGTCAAGTCCAGGCTGTGTCCCTTCTTTAGCTGGGGCAAAGATCAGAAGGCTATAATGACTAAAGGGGCTGAAAGTGTGGCAGATCCAATCCCAGAACAGCTTGGTTCCCCACCTGCTCTGTGACTCCTTCCTTCCCCAGGACTTGGGGTCACTTCCTGCTTCCTTGTCTCTAGGACTTGCCAGAACAGCCCTATCTACAGCCCCCACTGAGCATCCTGGTGATTGAGCGCCGGGCCTTTGGCCGAACTGTCCTTGTGGGTTCCCATACTGTCCACCACATGCTCAGATTCACACTCCAGAGCCATGAGGATCCCCCTGAGGAAGAGGAAACAGAGGAGGAGACAGACCTGGTGCCAAAGGGGCCTCAAGGTTAGGCGTCCTCTCCACAAGGGCCATAGCTAGAAGCCCCTCTGGATCCTGGTAGAGCTGGCTCCACTGGACCATCTGATGGCACCTGGAGTCTGGTTTCTACCAGCCTGAACTCATGGCGTCCCTTCCGTACTCCTCCCAGGAGAGAAGTCTCTGGACCCTGTCATGGCTGAAGCAGGAATATCCCACCGGCTTCTGAAGGTGATGGGTGTTCACAACTTGAGGGCGATGTCGGGGTTTGTGGTGGTGGTGTCTGAGAGTAACAAGGTCTGCTCTGCCTCAGGCCCCTCTAAAGAAGCTCACCTTAGGGCTCCTGGGCCAAGGCCCTGAGCTGGAGGAGGACATCCCAGAGCCGGAAGAGATGGACTGGTGGTCCAAGTACTATGCCTCACTGCAGGAGCTCCAGGGGCAGGTATGTGGAGCCTAGGGCAGGCGCTGGGGGATGGAAGGCAAGGAGGGGCTTGTCCGATAGATCCCTGCGTGTCCCAGAGTGCCCCAGACCGCCTTGCCGCAGACATCCTTCCTCCTCTTCACCTCAGTTGTTGTAGTGGAACTTCAGTACTCCTGCTGGCTACCGCTCAGTTGTCTGATAAAAGCAGAACACGAGCCCAGTGTGGTGGCGCACATTAAACCCAGCCCTCCATCCCGGCAAGTTCGAGGCCAACCTGGTCTACATAACAAGTTCCAGGCCTGGCAGGGATACACAGAGCAACCTGTTTCAGCAAGACAGCCATGAGCTGCAGAATTTTAACTCTTAAGAGGCTTGGGTATGGTGACACACACCTGCCCAGTGAGCAGCTGGGAGGTGGCAAGAAGAGAATCAGGAGTTCAAATCCAGCTTAGACCAACGGGAGGCTCTTAGAATTTTTCTTATACTTTTTTTTTTTCTTCGAGACAGGGTCTCTGTGTAGCCTTGACTGTCCTGGAACTCACTCTTTAGATCAGGCTGGCCTCAAACTCAGATCCACCTGCCTCTACCTTTCAAGTGCTGGGATTAAAGGCATGAGTCACCGTGACCAGCTCAAAAGATGTTTTTAATTTTAATTTTTATTAAAGTAAAAGGGAAAAAATGAGATTAAATTTAATAATGTTTTATTAATATAACATGTACAAAACATCATGTCAAGCACTAATCACCACGGAAGTTAGTAATAAGCCATTTTACATTCTCATAGTAAGTCTACTCACAGCACCTCTCAGTGCAGGCTGACCTCATCTCAAAGACTCAGTGACCATGTGTGGAAGGCGGTGGCCGAGTTAAACAGCGCAGGACCAGACAATAAAGGCAACCTCTAAAAAGAAGTGGCCGGGCAGCTGCAATGGGGTGGGCCAGGAAGGGGTGTGGGGAGGGATCCATGACCTCCCTTCTGATTTCAGCCCAGCTTCAACGAGGATGATATGGAAGACGCTGGGGATCCAGGTGAGAGTTCCGGCTTCTGCTCCTGCTCCACTTGTCTACCCCACCCCACCCCCATATTTCTTACCTGAGCCATTTCTGCTGTTTCCAGATGGGACCCACCTCAGTTCTACGGACAGGGAGGTTCCGGAGCAGGGGGAGACTGACATCAAAGGCCCTGTGCCTCGGAAAAAAGCAATTGCCACCCTGAAGGTGATGTGGTGCTGGGGAGAAGTGAGTCTCTTGAATTTGGGGTGCAGAGTCATCACGGAAACCCCTCGCCTTTCAGATCTACAACGGCTCCCTGGAGGATGAGTTTAACCACTTTGAAGACTGGTTGAGTGTGTTCCCCCTGCACAGAGGGCAGGGCGGCCAGGATGGAGATGGACAGGAAGCTTCTGGACACTTCGTGGGCAAGTTCAAGGTACACTTGGGGAAGAAAGGGAGACAGAAAAGGGCTCAGAAAGCTTTCTTACAGACAGGAGAGGTGGCTCAGCAGTTTAGAACACTGCCTGCTCTTGCAGAGGACCTGGGTTCCATTCTCAGTACCACAGTGTGGTTCACAACCATCCCTAATTCCAGTTCCAAGAGATCTGACACCCTCCTCTGACCTCCTTGGGAACTACACTCACACATGAGCATAGGCATGCGTGCAGGCAAAACACTCACATGTAAAGCAAAATCAGCAAATCTAATGTACTTTAAGAACAAAAAAACACTGTTCTTACCAAGCCCTTTTCTGTCTCCCCCACCTCAGGGGTCCTTCCTCATTTACCCTGAGTCAGAGGCTGCATCCTTCTCTGAACCTCAGATCTCCAGGGGGATCCCCCAGAACCGGCCCATCAAGCTTCTGGTCAGAGTGTATATAGTGAAGGTGAGAGTCCCCAGGCCCTGGCACATCCCCATGGCAGCAAAGACAGCAGCATGACGTCTATAGAACAAAGGCTCTTGAAGGCTCCTCAGAGATCACAGAGGCCAGCAACTTCAGGGCTTAGGACAAAATCCTAGGCATGCTTAGACCTCTCCTTCAAAAGGTTGCCTTGTGGCAGGACTTATCCATGTCCTGGTCTGGAGCTGGGGGAGCTGAAGACTAGCCCTGAGTGCCCGGTTCCAGAACGGCTTTTGATCAAATACCCTGAATTTCCTTCCGTTGCTGTGGCTGCCATGCAGGACTGGTGTGGCCCTGGAATTCCCTTAAGGGAGGCTTGGGAGCAGCAGGTTGCTCTGCCCCCACTGTCTCTGTCACCAGGGTAGATGCTGTACTTAAAGCCCTGGCTTTAATCCCCAGAATCACACAGACCAGGTGTAGACATGCCTGTAATCCCAGCACTCAAGAGGTGAAGGCAAAGAAGGTCAGGAGTTCAAAGTCATCCTTAGACAAAAAGCAAGCTTGAGGGCAGCCCTGGGCTCTGTGGGACTGTCTCTCAGGAGTGAATAGGGTGAAGTGCTTCATAGGTGAAGTGCTTGCTAGGCCTACAGGTATACCTGAATGCCAGAAGAGGGCACCAGATCTTATTATAGATGTTGTGAGCCACCATGTGGTGGGAATTGAACTCAGGACCTATGGAAGAGCAGGCAGTGCTCTTAACCTCTGAGCCATCTCTCCAGCTGATCTGCATTTCTTAATAGAGGTCCTGACTAGGCCTTTAATCCCAGCACTCAGAGAGGGCAGAGGCAGGTGGATTGCTGTGACTTTGAGACCAGCCTGGACTACAAAATAAGTCCAGAACAGCCAAGGCTACACAGAGAAAACCTGTCTGGGGGGGGGGGGGGGGAGTCTTGGAGACTCAGTGTAGCAAAAGCAAGACAGATTTATCTTCAGTTCAGAAGCCAAGTGCTAACCTGGACAAAAGGCAAAGAATGACTGACCTGCCAGTTTGGCATAAAATATTTTTATGTCCCTAATCACATTTCTCTGCCCCTTAAGCCCCTGCCAAATTCGGGCTTCAACTTCTGGTTGGGAAGACAGGGACCCAGTGCCGCCCATTACCTGCCATTCTCCAGTGGTTTCTAAACCTACCTGGTACTGCAAATGGGCTGTAAGGATTGATCTCTTACAATGTAATGAAGGAGAGCCGGGCTGTGATGTGGGGCTCAGTTGATGGGGTCCTGGGCTAGCATGGAGGAGGCCCTGGGTTTGACCTTCAGCACCGCATAAAATCCCAAGATCTGGCCCAACAAGGGCTTGTGCTTCAAGGATCCTATGTCCCCTGACTCCACTGGATCCGGATTCCCCCAAATCCAGGCTACCAACCTGGCTCCTGCGGACCCCAATGGCAAGGCAGACCCGTACGTGGTGGTGAGCGCTGGCAAGGAGCAGCGGGACACTAAAGAACGCTACATCCCCAAGCAGCTCAACCCCGTCTTTGGAGAGTGAGGCTGGGCCCTGGGCTTGGGAGTAGCGGCATCCAGAGCCCCACAGGCTCTGGCCTAGGCGGGTGGGGCGGACACCCCCAGGTCCCTTCTGAGGGCGAGGAGCTGTCCTTAGCCACTTTCCCTTCCTGGCCAGGGTCCTGGAGCTGAGTGTGTCTCTCCCGGCTGAGCCAGAGCTGACTGTGGCAGTATTCGACCATGACCTTGTGGGTTCAGATGACCTCATTGGGGAGACCCACATTGACCTGGAAAACCGATTCTACAGCCACCACAGAGCCAACTGTGGGCTGGCCTCCCAGTATGACGTGTGAGTCCGGCAGGGCAATGAGGAGCCGTTCCCAAAACAAGCGCTTTCAAGCTCACACTGCCATTTAAATTGCTCTTAATCTTAGTATGTTCTGAATGTGTTTGTGTGAGTACATTCATGTGTGAGAATCTGGGCACATATGTTCCGCAACATACTTGTGACAGTCTGAGGACGGACATGGGTATTGGTCTTCTCCTTCCATCTTGTTTGGGGCAGGGTCTCCTCACTGTTTTGAGCCAGGCTACCTGGCTCATAAACTTCCAGTATCCTGTCTCTACCTCCATCTCCCTTAGCACTAGGATTACCGACACTTGTGTTACATCTTGACTTTTATGTGGGCTCTGAGGATTTGAACTCGGAGCCTCATGATTATGCAACAAGCCCTTTACCTGTCACAGTCCTTACAGCCCCATTATTATCTATAGGTCACAGAAGGGGACCTTCTCCCACCTTCTAGCAAGCCATCCTAGCTCACTGGCCAAGACTTGGGTCCTGGGATTTGGGCACTAATAAGTCGTTTGGCCTCTTTGAGCCTCATTTCCTCGTCACTCTGTGCCCCGCTGTGCCCACAACGGCCCTAGCTGATGCACTGTTCTCTTCTGCCTGCAGGCATGGGTACAATGCCTGGCGCGACGCTTTCCGGCCCTCACAGATCCTGGCGGGGCTGTGCCAGCGCCGTGGCCTTCCTGTCCCTGAATACCGAGTTGGGGCTGTCAAGGTGGGCAGCAGAGTCTTTTTGACACCGACTGAGGCCCTGCCTTCAGGTACCTGACCGTTTCTGCTGGACGGGCCACAGGGAGCGTGAGGGGGCAGACCAAGACACAGGCCATATGAGTAGAGCCCACTGCTGCAGGCACAGGATGTGAGTTTGTGAGTTTGGCTGAACAACAGCACAGCACGGTTCCTGGATGTTGGGAGAAAATGATCTTCAGTAGAGCCGTCAGAGCACAGGGTCCAGAGCTTTCTACAGTCACATGGCTAGTAGTCTGGTCTCTTAAACAAGGTATGAGCCAAGGTCATGGCTGGCTCCTCAGTCTTCACGGTCAGTAGTTACAGCAGCAGCTTCCCACCCCTGCTTTTTCTAAGGGGTAGACTTGGTCTCCCAGGCTATAGGCCTGAGGAACTTTTCTATTCCTGTTAAAAGTGTTGTCTTGGAGCTCACGGCCTCCTTCTGCTAATCTAGGCCTAGTCCTCGAAGCTTCTAGCCTCCGTACCATCTAATCTAGATCTAGAATGTTTTCAGCTTCTAGGACTTACTGCTGAATAAGCTCACCCTTTCTTGTTCTTTCTGAGCTGGTTCAACTCAGCTGTTCCAGCTCAAACTCCTCTCCCAGCTGATTTAGTCACTCTGGCTTCTCTTATGGCCCCTGAATTGCTTTGCTTGGCCTCAAACTAACTCTAGCAATCTGCTCTAATCTTTTGGCTCCTTCTTATTCCCTTGCTCATTCTGTCTTCACCTGTGTCTAGCTTGTTCTCTCATTCAACATCTCTCTGTAAAGCTCTCCAGGTAAAACTGCCTCCTCTCTCCCTCCCCTCACATTGCTTCTTAAGTAGCTTCTTTTCCCTCTCCCTTCTCCTATTGCCAAATCTTTCTCTGATTCATCTTTATTTCTGCCACTCAATTAGACATCACTTTCAAACATAGGTGCTTCCTTCCACAAACTATCTTTACCTTCATTGTTTGGGATTCAAGGTATGTGCTATCACACCTGGACCCAAGCTTTTCTTTACCTGAAATTTGCTCTATACCAGGTTGGCCTTGAACTCAGCTCTGCTTGCCTCTGTCTCCTGGATTAAAGGTGTGTTTGTATTCCAGCTGATCACACAGACCTAGAAAGTCTTTGGATGTGATCTCTTGCCAGAGCAGTCATGTTCTGAATTAACATTCTTCTACATAGGCCATAGTTTTTTGTTTGTTTGGTTTGGCTTGTTCTTTTGTGGGGAGAGGGTTAGGTGGTGAGGGCAGCTGTTGAGGAGGTCTCTACATAGCCCTGGCTGTCCTGGAACCAAGTAGACCAATCTGGCCTCAAACTCCTGGAGATCCTTCTGCCTCAGCTGAGAGCTGCTGTGAAGGATGGGAGGGCAGGAAGAATGCCGTGAATCCAAGCCCACTCCCTCTTGCTACAGATGGCAGGGATCCCACGGTGACATGTGAGGCTTCGGAAGAGGCCCAAGCATTGCTTGTGCTGCGGCGTTGGCAGGAGATGCCAGGATTTGGGATCCAGCTGGTACCTGAGCACGTGGAAATTCGGCCCCTGTACCACCCCCGCAGTCCAGGGCTGCTGCAGGTGAGGGCCCTCAGCACCCCCGCGTCTCATCGAGACTCCCACCTGACTAGACTCTCTCCCCAAGCCCTCTGCCCCCACACTACTACCACTGACCCTGGCTCCTGGTGTCAGTAACCTTCCCACCTCAGCCTTGGAGTCTTGAACCTCTGTAATGGGCTGTATACCCCATCCCTGATTCTGGTTCTACAGGATCCCTGAGGCAACGAGCTTTTAGACCTGGGGCTCCCAACCTGACCTTTGTGTTAGTTGTCTGGGCCTCAAGAACACTGCATCCTACTTTTGATCTCAATTTTCTCACTCTGGATCGTCATCCTGAAGCCAGTCTTGGCCTTGACCTTGGGACCCTCACTTCAGACTCTACCTTCATTCCAGTACCCCAAATCTACTCAATAACTCCTGCCCTTGACCCTCCTCTACTCCCCACTGGGGACAGGGCAGCCACAGGATTCAAGACTGTAGAGAAAGTAAGACCCTGCAGCATGGTTTTGTGCTCTTAGGGATCCCTTCATATGTGGATTGACATCTTCCCCAGTGATGTGCCTGCCCCACCCCCCGTGGACATCAAACCTCGGCAGCCGATCAGGTGAGAGAATTTTGGCGCCTCTGCTCTGGAACTGAGCCCTTGTTGAATCAGGCCAAGACTTCTGACTGAAGTTTGTGGGGAGGTGAGTTATATTCACCTCCCCGTAAGCCACGAGCACTGAGTCTGTAAAGGGTCCAAATGCCCTCGAGTGAACCCTGCTCCTGCCTGGACTGGCCTGAGTGCAGCTCTGTGAGGGTGTCACCCCACCTCCTGGCTCCGCTAGTCCTGGTATTCCTCTCAGGGAGCCTTTTTTGTTTTTATATGTATATTGGTCTTTGTCCTGCATGTATGTCTGTGTATTATATGCATGCTTGGGGCCTGCAGAGACCAGAGAGGGAATCAGATCTCCTGAAACTGGAGCTGCAGAAAACTGTGAACCACACTGTGGCTGCTGGAAACTGAATTTGAGTCCTTTGGGACAGCAACAAGTGCTCTTAGGCGCCAAGTCATTTCTCCAGCCCTTCCAAGAGCCTAGGAATGAGGCAGCTTCTAAGAGTACCTTATCACTTATCAGCCATGCCTCTTGAGTGGAAATAAAGGCCTCTTCCTATCAGAGTGAAAGCCCAGAGCCACTTCCCTTTGGCTGGCCTAGATGTTCTGTCACTGTGGGTAGGAGCTCTGATACCACAGATTGGCCAGTTTGGGGTGGTCCTCCCCAGCCTGGAGTCCTGTAGATGCCTGTCCACTAGAACCACATAGATTGGCGATGTGGCTGGGCAGAGGGTTAATGGGCATGGTAGTGTATCCTTGCACTCAGGAGGCAGAGCAGGAGGAACAGGAGTTCAAAGGCCAGCCTCAGTTTCATAGAGAGCTCAAGGCTAGCCTGGGCTACATCAGGCCCTGTCTTGACAAAACAGAATCAGAGAGAGGATCAATAAATAAAGGGCAGAAGAGAGCCAGGCTGTGTATAGGACACAGAACCTCAGTGTACTGGCCTGGGTTGGAGGACACTCCTGGTGTTGCCATTGATGTGGTGGGAAGTGGTCGGTGTTACCTGACCCAGCTCCTTTCTGTTCCCAGAGCTCCCTTTTTCTTGTCTTTGGAGATAAGGTCTCACGTAGCCCCAGCTGGCCTTGAACTAGGGATGCAGCTGTGGATGGCCTTTGAACTGTCTTAATCCTTCTTCACTGCTGGGATTACAGGCATGTACCACCACACCTTGCTGTATGTACTAGAGACTGAGCCCAGGGCCTAATGCATGCTAGGCAAGCAGTCTACCAACTAAACAAAGATGAAGGATTTTTCGGCTGTTGTGGTTTGGGGACAGGGTCTCCTGTAGCCTCAGGGATGAACTTGGGCTCTGGATCCTCCTGTTCACACCTCTGGAGTGCTGAGGTTACAGGCCTGTGCGCTGCCTCCCCAGCTTAAGAGCTGCTGGCTAGTCACACCAGAGACCCTTAAGTCTGAATCCACTGCTTCCCCAGCTACGAGCTCAGAGTTGTCATCTGGAACACGGACGATGTGGTTCTGGATGACGTGAATCCACTCACTGGGGAGATGTCAAGTGACATCTATGTGAAAAGGTAGGCCCTGTAGGCTGGGCTGGGAAGCTGCAGACGGGGACCCTGTGTCCAGGCCCTCTGTGTGCCGAGAGCTGAGGGAGGAGCTGAGCTCTGGCTGTGGCCCCTGATGCCCATCTTGCCCTGGGCTGTCTCCCTTCCCTCACCCAGCTGGGTAAAGGGGCTGGAGCATGACAGACAGGAGACAGATGTCCACTTCAACTCCTTGACCGGCGAGGGCAACTTCAACTGGCGCTTCGTGTTCCGCTTTGACTACCTGCCCACGGAGCGGGAGGTGAGCGTCCGGCGCAAGCCTGGACCCTTCGCCCTGGAGGAAGCAGAGTTCCGGCAGCCCGCTGTGCTGGTCCTGCAGGTCTGGGACTACGACCGAATCTCTGCCAACGACTTTCTTGGTACTTGGCTTCTACTAACCTCAAGCTCACACACGATTTGTCCTCACTTTCCTTGCTGCCACCTTTTCTTTGTTCCTTGTTCCTACCCTTACTCAACTTTGAGTCAGATCCCAGGCTTCAACTATTGCTTTCTACTTAATCACAGTGTTCAGGGATCTTGCTGTAGTAACCTCCTTTCCAACCAAGGCTCTCTCTACATCAGTCCTCCCTGTCACTCTGAAGTCACTCTGGCCTCCCGTTGTGGCCTTTGATCCTTGCTTGGCAGTCTGAGCCTGGACCTCTGGTTGGCTAACTGACATGCTGGCTGCTAGGCTGTGGTCTAGGAAATCTGTAGCTGTGGTCTTGGCAACCCCGGGTGCTGCCTCCCAACCCCTCACCCTAACCTCCCGATTCTGTTCTCACAGGATCCCTGGAGCTGCAGCTACCCGACATGGTGAGGGGGGCCCGGGGCCCGGAGCACTGTTCTGTTCAGCTAGCCCTCGATGGGGCAGGGCCAAGGTGCAATCTATTTCGCTGCCATCGATTGCGGGGCTGGTGGCCGGTGGTGAAGATAAGGGAAGTGGACGATGTGGAGCGGGAGGCCAGAGAGGCTCAGGCTGGCAAGAAACGGAAGAGGAGGAGGAGAAAGGGACGGCTGGAGGACTGGGAGTTCACAGACGCTGGCGGCAACGTCTACATCCTCACGGTGCGTAGCGTGTAATGACCAAGGCCTGCTCAGGGCTGGACGGTGCCCACTGACTGCCCCACCATCTCCTTCTAGGGAAAAGTTGAGGCAGAGTTTGAACTGCTGACTGTGGAGGAGGCAGAGAAGCGGCCAGTTGGGAAGGGGCGAAAGGAGCCAGAGCCTTTGGAGAAACCCAAGTAAGTAGCCCGAGCTTAGGGAGGTGGGGCCACTGGCAGGGGGCTGCTGGTCACTGTGACGCCACCCTTCCCCAACAGCCGCCCCAAAACCTCCTTCAACTGGTTTGTGAACCCCCTGAAGACCTTTGTCTTCTTCATCTGGCGCCGGTACTGGCGCATCCTGCTGCTGCTGCTGCTGCTGGCTCTCATCACCATCTTCCTCCTCCTCGTCTTGTACACCATCCCTGGACAGATCAGCGAGGTCATCTTTAACCCCATCCACAAACACTAATCCAAGCGAGCAGGGACACACCTCAGGGTGCCAACCTTTCACACCTGCTCTGGAGGCCCTTCCTTCCAGTGTCTGTCGGGAGGGCTCAGTACTTGGTTCAGTAAACGATCACAGGCCGGGGTTGGGGGTTACGTGTGGGCCTGTTTTTGTAGGTGGCGCAGGGCAAAGGTGCCCCGGTAGCCTCAGAGGCTAGGGATCTGCTAGAATGCACAGGGTGGGAAGACTGCCCACATGCCAGCCCAGAAAACAAGCCTGAAGTCTGAGTGACTGCGTCACCTCTCACTCCACCACCCCAGAAGCCTGCTTTCCATTCCTGCAAGTGGCTGGGTCTCTCCTAATTTGCTATGGCCCTTCCTTCCATGACATCTAACCACTTTGTTTCACTAATATGTTACCAACCTCAAGAGCTAGGATGCCTGGAAAAAACAAAACAAAACTCAGCCCAAACTGGCTTAAGCCAAAAGGGAATTTATCCATTTGGTTGGCTAGCTTCAGGTAGTTTGTTACAGGGTTTAACTGTCACTGGCTGCTGCTGGCTGCTGGCTGCTGGCTTAGCTGCCCCAGGAGGGCAGCTATGGCAGGCAGGTTCTCCCCTGGGACTGGCGGACCACTGTGCAGCCCCGCCTCTCCCTCCTCCAGAGGGGCCTGGCTTGCTGTGGCTGGTGGTTGATGGGCAGATCAACCTTCCTCCCAAACCAGAGAAGCCGAGGATGGGTGGGTTACCACAGGTTAACGAGGTCCTCAAGTGACCAAAGGGTCATCACCCGACTTCTAAGGACTACTGGTCACAACTCGCAGTGGTGGAATCACCTGGACTTCAGGTACCCTCCAGGGACTTTGAGGTCATCACTCACTCTGCTTCCCTGCCATGGTCTTATGATCTGAGTTACTGACTGCTGCCTGCTCCCTGGTTCCCTGGGCTGTGGAGGGCTGAGGCCTCTGGCCATGAGTTTCTACCACAGATAAGGGCTTTAATGAGAAGCCCTGGTTAAGTCCTGAGCAAAGGGTCCTGTGCTGGCTGTGCTCCAAAATGGCCACCTTCCTCTTCAGTTGTGCCTTCATTTAGGAGTCTGCAACGCCTATAAATTTTCTCTATGCGGAGACACTCAGGCTTGGCAGTGAGAACCACATGACTGAGTCCAGGCTGTGGAAAGCAGCCTCTGCTTTGGCTGCCCAGCACTGCAAAAGTAACAAGTTCCAGCCTGGACTCCGCTCTGTGATAGTGACACTGCAATCAGGAGCTCCACAAGCCATGGTGCCTCCAAGATACTTGCCCTAGAAAGTTCTGTCTCGTCACAGAAGAGGCAACAGACATGGCTGTGCAGTAGGTATCAGTCTGGTGTTAATAAAGCCACACTGAACAGAGTCTGCAAATGTGTGACTCCTGAAGGGCTCGTCCTGGCCTGTCAGTCACAGTGGCCTTTAATACGTGGCTAAGAGAAGAGGCTGCTCCCAGGTTTCAGCCGGATCCCAAGAATCACACTGAGACCAGCCATTACTATCACAATTCATATTTATCACCCAAGGCTGGGGCCGACTCTGACAAGGTGAGGAGTACGGGGTGGTAAAGAGGCTGGGGGATATAATCAGAGGGGAAGAGGGAAGCAAGAGTGATGGGGAAGGAAGGAACTACGTTGTCTTCCCTAGATCAATTTTCTTCTGGATGGCTCGAGCGGAGTGGTAGATGAGAGAGTCGATGAGGCCGGCCACTGGGAGAGAGACCACGGCTAGCACTGGCGCATGGGGAGCCCTGCCTTGCCGCCTAACTGGCTGGGCTAGCATTCTCCATGGCCCTTTCCCCAGCCAAAGCCCAGGGTACTGCTGAGGACGTCCGTCCTCAGAGCCACTGCGCTGGGAAGCCTGGGGCAGGCCGGATCCCCTTACCTGTAAACATGCCTCCGATGATGGCACACACACCAGTCAGGAAGTGAGTGAAGGACCTGCAGACACACAGGCTCAGTAGGCACCCTGTGCTCACAGGCCAGAGCCCTGGCTCCTCCCACTCCACCCCCTCACCTGTGCTTCTCCGTCAGCTTCACCATCATGGGCGAGAGCTCGTAGAGCACGAAGACTCCTGGCAGGCCCTGGTCACCCAGCAGCCCGTTAGCAACCTTCTCATGCCTGGTCACAGAGAACTGGTTTGTCCTTAGCACCTGTGGGAGGGAGGCAGAGGCAGAGCAAGGTTCATAACCTGCAGCCCCCTGTGAGGCTGCGGCTATATGAAGGGACAGAACAAGGATCCGTGTTGGTAACTAGCACTGGAAGGCCTGAGGACCACCCAGAGCCCTCTGACCATCCTGTTTTCCCTGCTAGTCGCCACTGTTTACAGTTAACCAGTCCCTGCTACATCTGGCCAATACTCTCACTGGATGTCCAGGGACAAGAAACTCTTGCAGGTGGCACCCTAAGGCTGGGACTCCCTCCCTTGCTGCTCAGCCCCTTGTCCCCACTCCACCCCATAGAACAGGGCAGGCCCAGGGATGCTTGGCTAACCCCAGTCAACAACAGACAGTGGGGGTCAGCACCCACGGACTATCTGGAGTCCGAGAAGCAGGAAGAACACAGAGTGTCACGCCTGTGTCTGCAGTGAGGGCAGATCTCCCTTTGGGCCTCAGCTTTGCATCCATCATAGGGGAGCGAGAGCAGCAACTCATTCCCCAAGCTGAAGGAACCACACAAAAGCCTTCAAGGGCTTGGCAGCCAGTTGGTGCTTGTCGCCTGTACTCCAACTCACCTCCCCATCCACCTTCATGTACACTGTGGGTACCACCTTCACAAAGTACTGGAACATCATGGAGGCTGTGTGGAGAAGAAAGCACAGGGCGTGGGTGCCAGGCAGGCTTTGGAAGGTAGAAGGGGACCCCTCCCAGGATGGTTGGTACCTTGGGGTGCAGTGACGTTGGTGTGGTCCAGGGGGTTCACAATGCCTGGATAGTCCTCCCCAAATGACAGGTGCTTGATGTAGTGGGTCATGTTGATCTGCAAGCAACAGTGGTGCCTGAGGCCTGACAGCACCCTATCCACCCCAAACTAGAGTAGCAGAGGGCTGCCCGAGCCTGCCGGTGCAGGTGGGAAAAGGGAGGATGAAGGCAGGGAACCTGCATTGGAGAGGCTATGGCTTTAACGGAAGGACTGCCTATACCCGGCATCTTCTGTTTTCACTCAGGACTCCCTTCTCAGTCCACAGGTTCTTGGAACTCCAGGGTCTAAGGTATAGATTCAAATAGCTATGGACTTCACAGTAGATGCTGGTCTTGCCCGACACCTCGGGGATGAAGGCCTAAGCCAGAAGCCCCCAATTGCCAGCTTTCTTGAGGGATACTTAGAAATGCCAATCTATGTCACCCGCCTTATTAAGGTGAGCAGACAACTGTCCTCTGCTCCGAAAGGAAAGAGCAGATTCCTCAGTATGGCCTCTGGGTCCCATGTGCTTTGGCCCTGCCAACTTTGTCAGCCTTGGCCATCTATATTTGTCGTGGTGGCTTCCTAGAAGTGTCATATTCCCTCCTGGCTTTGCTTTGAGGTTTTCTCTTGAGGGTGCACCTATTCAACCGCATCTCTGCCCTCAGTCTGGAGCACCACCAGAACGGTGGAAAGTGGTTTCTTGTGCTCCCCACGTCAGACATGGGTAGCCCAGTCTCCATACTACCCTCCCTCCATGGGTTCCACCGTACGTACATTGTCAAGGCCAAAGCTCTGCAAGTCATGAACTAGAAGAGAAGAAGAAAGAGTCATCAGGGAGGCAGGACCAGGTTCCTGGCTCCTCAGGCTTTCCCAGGCTGTCCTCCTCCACTGTGGGGTATGACACACCTAGCTCTCCTTGGACCCCCAGTCACCCTCAGCCTGGTTCCTCTGGCCCTGCTTATAGACAGCTGGCCAGGGCCTGCCCTGGAACCAGGGGAGGCTTCACACTCTCACTCTGGGTGGGCAAGAACACAGATCCTTCTCCGCTGACAGAGGGAGCTCCAGGCATCCACTCCAGGCTTTTATCTCAGGAAACAAACCCACTAACTAGAGTTAATGGTAAGTCACTGGACCACAGTGTGAGCAGGGACTCCTGTGCTTCTGCCCTCAAAATTCCCCAAAGGGATCCCATGGGTTCCCTTCATACTATCTTCTAATCCCAACTGCCCTGCTGTGAAGAACCCCCACCTCAAAGACCCATCCCAGACCCATCCAAACCTCCCCCATCCAGGAGGGCAAAGTGCCTCAGAAGTGGGGGCTTGGCCTTCCTGGGGGCAGGACCACTTACTCTCCACAGCGTGTACTGCAGCATGGGGGAGGGAAGGAGAGAGGAGGAAGAGAACAGAGATTCAGAGCTTCACAGTGAGATCTATGAAGTAAGATCCATGGTAGGAGGGAGGGCTAATATTCCTGCTTCAGCACAAGGGTCTAGCCCCAGCTAACAGGCCTTTTCTGGGACCAAAGAGGCCCAGAGGTGGGCTCAAGCACAAAAGTAGCCAGCCTAAGAAGAACCAAGGACCTAGAGCCTCAAAACCACCTCCCAGCTGTGTGACCCTGGGCAGAGCGCTTGGACCACGTTGCCCTCTTCAGGAGGCCTGTCCTAAGGACCAGGAAGATCTAAGAAGGACAACACCTGGTCAGCTTTACAAGATACTACACCATACCACATAATTCACCCTGCAATCAACAAGGATGCTGAGAAGTTCTCTGAGAGTAGGGAGGTGGAAGAGCACGCCTTTAATGCCAGCACTCAAGAGGCAGAGGCAGGTAGATCTTTGTGAGCCGAGGCCAGCCTGGTCTATAAAGCAAGTCCAGGACAGCCAGGGCTACACAGAGAAACCCTGTCTCAGAAACAAACAAGCCCTGTGAGGACTCCATGGCAGATGTCCGGCCACAGGCACCGCAGCTCTGTGTATGAGCATCCTTGTACTTAGAGTCAGTTGCCCTGGGGTTCATGACGAGGGGGACACAAGCAGAGGAGCAGACCTGCTGCTGCGATCGCAGCCACCTCCCGAGTGTCTGCAAGGCCGGAGCCA